CCCCGGTGACGGACGCCATACGACGATTGATTCAACACCCAGACGCTCCTTTATTGCTTTTTTTTCGTCGCACATACGCACCGGTATACAAAGATAAAATGTGAGTAGTCATCAAGATGCGCCGGGTGGTTGGACCAGAAGGGGCTTTGTTGGGCGAGGACAATAAGAGCGAGGAAATGAGGGGCTGTCAATGGGCATGTGGTTGCGCACGCATACGAGGGTGTCGTCTGGCCGGCAGTTGATGATATTCTTCACTGCCATTTATGGGATTGCTTTATTGAAAAGAGGAGGGAAAAAATGAAAGCGAAGATGAAATCGACAATGGCCTGGGGGATGACGCAAACCTCAGATGGGAAATTTATTGGTGTACGAGAGTATTCGAGAGTCTCTGCTAACATGGCCTTCTAGACCAACACGCTCTTTGACACTTGTCAAGTACATTCGTTGAAAACTGTTTCTGACAGTGAGGCACCCTGTCCAGCTTTACAGCTCCTGTTCTTCTGTTCAATTACGCATTGCTGACTGGAGGAGCAGTATATTTACCTCAAAATACAAAACTCCACACTCCTTCATCTCAGGGATATATACACTCATTACTCTAAAAAAACACTACCGGGAAACGATTCGCAACCATGCAGACCAAATCGCTGTTTCTGCTGGCCACCCTGGCCATGTCGGTGGCGGCAAAGGCTGATCGCCCTCGCATCTACTACCCCCACAAGATCAAGCGCGACTTTGGTGGTTCCAACTCAACGACGTCGTCGGACGTTGATGACATTCCTGGCCGCTTTGGGCATCATCACCATCGCACCACCACCAGCTCTACCACCAGCAGCACTTCTACCGATGTGACTTTCACCGGTAGCTCTGCCACCGACGTCTCTTCCACCAGCAGCTCGTCGAGCAGTGTATCGTCGAGCAGCTCCTCCGAGAGCTCCTCTTCGATCTCGGGCAGTGTGACGACCATTGTTACGAGGAAAACAGTCATAGTCACGCCTACTCCCGATGGCACTAGCAGCAGCTCGCCTACTCCTTTCGAGCCTTCTAGAACCGGCACCCAGTCCGACGCGGCACCCTCGGGAACCTCCAGCCAGGCTTCTTCTCAGTCGTCGTCTGCCCCGACTTCCGCTCCTGCTGGCACTGGCAGCTCATCTTCTCAGGGTTCTTCCACCTCTGCTCCTGCCGGAACCAGCTCTTCTGCGCCATCGTCCTCCTCGACTAGCAGCGATGGGGGCCTGGGTCTCAGCATTGGCCTCAGCCTTCCCCTGGGAGGCAAAACCTCCAGTTCTACGACTTCTTCTGCCGCCACCTCTGCCGAGACGACACCTCCTCAGACGACCTCCTCTGATGGCAGCGCCCAGTCCTCTTCCCGTGCCACGTCTAGCAAGGCCAGCGAGACTGGAATTGTGATTGATCCCACTGGCGTCCGCTTCCCCTCGACTACCGCTCCGGCTGAAACTGGGTCTTCCAGTGTTCCCCCCTCCACCAGCAGCGGTGTTCCCGATAGCAGCTCTTCAGGCAACTCCACCATCGAGAATGTCAGCTCCACCTCTGCGAAGCCATCTTCCACTGGTGGTGGTCTTTTGGATCCCATCAAGTCCATATTGGATCCAACAAAGACCTCTGCCACCTCCGCCGCCGAGACGACGGGGCCTGCTTCTGAGACCTCTTCCGGCCTGCCAGTCCAGTCATCTCTCCCTGGCACCGGATCTTCCACGTCTGCCGAGAAGACCACCTCTTCGGATGGCGGCATTCTTCCTAGCTTGTCCCTGCCCTTGACGCTGCCGCCGGTGATTCCCACCGGAACCTCATCGTCTGCTGTCTCCAGCTCTGCTCCGGCGACATCCCAGGATGGAGCCAACACGACTTCCGCCTCCGCAGCGCCCACGACTACTCCTGGTCTCAGCATCCCGCTCTCGATCTCGCTCCCCACCATCCCGGTCTCCATTACTGACTCGGCCACCTCCGCCACGAGCTCTGACGTTACTGTCATCAACGGCACCAGCACTGAGCCTCCCGTTACTGGTTCTGCGACCGTTACTGGCCCTCCCGGAACCACCTCGAGCGCTCCCACCGGCTCAGTGACAGGTCCCCCCGTCAACAACAGCACCAGCACCGAGCCAACTGGCCCGATTACTTCTTCTTCGCCTACCGCCTCAGTTACTGGCTCAGCTACTGGTTCAGTCACTGGCCCGGCCACTGCCACGGGTACTGCCTCGGGTACTGCTTCAGGTACTGCTTCAGGTACTGCCTCAGGTACTGCCTCCTCTTCCGCTATCGAGACCGGTTCGGGTGGTAATACCACGGAGACCTCTTCTCCCGCGACTCAATCGTCGACCCCGACATCAGGTGTCGGTGCTACTGCGACCGGCGGTTCGTCATCCACGCTGGTGACTGTCTCGAAGTCTTCCACCCCGGTTGTCACTAGCCTTGCAGTCCCGACGTCGAGCGCTGAACCCATCACGAGCATTCGACCCACTGCCACCTTGACCAACACCGCCGACTGGCTGCCGACGACCATTGTCATTGAGCCTACCACCATGGTCTTCACCCCGGTGACTTCCTCCGCGACTGTCTCCGCCTCGACAGCACTGCCAACTGATGTTCCCAAGATCATCTACCCCGATGATCCCAACACCCCCGCTGCTGAAGGCACTGTCCCGATCCAGGTTGGATTCCTCTATCCTCTTAACTACCTGTTCGTTGCCGGCAACACCGTTGCTGCCGCTCAGATCTTCAAGTACCTTCCCCAAGCTCTCGCCAACGCCGCTGGCATCGACGTGGAGAAGGTTCAGGTTGCCAAGCTTGTTCCTTACGACACCCGTAATCAGTGGGGTTATATCACCACTCTTGCCAAGATCAACTACCCCCAGAACCTGATTGACAAGCTTCAGCTGGACATGTCGGTCGCCAACTCTGTCATCTACAACAACCCCGACCCCATTGTCCGCAACCTGACCGCCCTGATCAACCCCAAGATTAACATCTTTGGCCAGGTTACCGGCGGTGGCTCTACCGATGGCAGTGATGGCAGCGGCAGCGGCAGCGGTGGCAACAGTCCTGCCCCTGGCTCTAGCAACAACGACGCCTTTGGCACCAGCAGCACCGATAGCCAGAACTCTAAGCAAAAGGCCACCACCGCCGGTATTGCCGTCGGTGCCGTTGGCCTGGGTGCTCTGTATGGTGGTGCCATGTTCATCATTGCTCGTCGTTACAAGCGCAAGAAGCAGGCTCACCGCCGCAGCAGCTCCCTTGATGGCAGCCAGCGTTCGTCTGGCATGCAGTATGCTGGCAACGGAAGCCCTGCCCTCATGGGCGGTGCCCTGATGAGCCGCGACATGTCCAGCTATGGCGGAACCGGAGTTCGCAACAGCCACAACAGCGGAACGAGCTCTGCTCGAACTGCCAACATCTCCGCTCCCGTTGCGGCTGAGAACTCCCTTGGCTGGAATTGATGATCTACACGCTTTTATATCGGCCTTTTTTTTTTTCGCCTCAAATTTTATTTATTTTTTCCTTTTGGATATCCGTGCATCATATTTTTATTTTTCCTTACTTAAATTTCGATACCCTTGGGGGAGCTTTTTGCTCATGAGGATGTAGGACGATGTCTACGAATTTCTTGATGTCTTACCAAGTTTGACCTGGGTCTCTTTGAAAAAACACACTCCCGGTTTTGCTTGGGCCTGCTCCTTGTGGTAGTTTTAGTCCAGCGCGCAGTGGGAATTTTTATCCTTTGGACCGCTGACCACTCCTCCATTATTTTTTACCACTTACGCCGACCACCTGTTACAGGATGGCGCCGACCGTTGCTTTCTTCTTCTTTGGCTCCATCCTGGTGGATCTTGGCATTTGTTTTTAATATTCTTAGCCTTGTCCGGAGTTGGAATGAGAATAGATGGTCTTGTGACGATGCCTTCTAGGGCCAGCGTTGTCGTGCAACCTCTTGGAGTGAACTTTTTTTTTTTTTTTGCTTTGAGAAGGAAAAAAAAGAGGAAGAAAGAGAGAAAGAGGTGGGATGTAGAGGCGGCGTTCCTCGAAATCAAACATGTCAGATAGGAGTGTGAGAGGAAGAGTGAGGAGGAGAGAGTTGGGGAGGGTCAAGATAGCGGGTTTTTAAAACAAAACAATGTTTGAAAATTACATGGACTTGTTGTGTTGTGAATGGAGGGGTGTGTTATGTTTTTCACATAGACGACAATAAATCAATTAATTCACAGATGATGCCGGGAAATGGATTCGTGTGTCTTTTTTTTTTTGTGGTGTTTCGAGATGAACTGAAGGATGAAGATATGGTGGTGAGGGATGTCAAGGCCGGACTTTGGCGGCACAGAATTGATTAGTGAGAAGTGAGAAGCTGAACTTTTGGCTTCAAGTCCACACCGCTTATAAATCTGAGGTGGGCTTGCTTATTCCGCAGGGGAGGGAGTTTGCTCCGACTCACCGAGTGTCTTTGGGGGGCTTTCAAAACCAGCCAGATCCCCGTAGTTATAGCTTCAGTACTACGTGTACGGAGATCTGGCCGACTTTTGAGACTAGGGCTGTTTTATCCTTGAGGGCGATTGGCTTATTCGCTAGAGTTGGAGATTCAACCTACTTCGAAGTTGCTAATCTTTCTATTCATTCAACTTTTATCGCTTCATCACGACGACTTGAATGTGCTTTCTTTTGTGATTTACGTCCTCTGAGTTATATGTATAAGTGAAGTTGGCTTGGAAGTTTTGAGCTTCCTTTTTCTTTTATGCCAGTGCTGAACAATGAGTTCGCGACAGACAAGCACAGCGTGCGTCAACTGTAGGTCCCGGCGAATCAAAGTATGTCTGCTTCCTTTATACACCCCCCCTTTTGCTCATTAAGGCAGTGTATTTACGTGAGGCAGAGCGAAGACTAAGAAGAAGTGCGGACAGTGCAATGAAACTAAGCCGCGGTGTGCGCAGTGTGCGAGGGCTGGGTTGGTCTGCTGGGGATATAGAAACCAGACGGAACTGCGCATCGTCAACATGGCGGGGAAGCAAGATGGCAAGAAGAAGAAGAAGCAGAAGAAGCGAAGCAACCCGAGCGATTCTGATTCCACAGCCGACAAGGCCTCTTCCCCTTCATCATTACGTGTACCGAGATCAAGTCGTCGACAACAGCAAGGGGAGCTGCTCTCGCTTCCGCGCTTCAACTTTTCCATCCCTACAGAGTCGGTGGCGCAGGTCTTCTTCTTCCGCCACTACTCCATGACGGGCGCGAACAGGTTCTACGCGATGCAGAGCGCGACGTCGACGCCGACGGCCAAGATGCTCGGGATCTGGGCCGTGGGGCTGGCGGGTGTGGCGAATTCCGAGAGGGACCAGGGCGTGATGGCGCTGGCGAGGACAAAGTACGGTTTGACGCTACGTTCGATTCATGAAGCTATTCGGGAGCGGGGGGAGGTGACGACGGAGTGTACGGTTGGGGCGGTGGTGATGATGGCTATGTTTGAGGTGAGTCTTTCTGTTTTGCCTGATGGGATTGGAGATTGATGAGTTTTGATTAGATTATTGCATGTCGGGATAGTTTGTCGCTTGAGGCTTGGATTTGCCATATTCAGGCGGCGGCGACGTTGATACGGCATTGGAGTGAGGATGAGTGGAAGAAAACGATTGATGTGCGACCCTTTCTGCACTTGTTCTATTTGCTGGTAATGATGTCTCAACGAAAGGATATATGACGATCTTGGTCTAACTTGGGCTTTGCTGCATAGGCGATGAGTTGTCTTATTAGACGCGTACCTGTTCCTACTCACATCTGGGAGCTTTGTCGCTCTTCTCCCGCGTTGATATCAGACGGGGATTTGTTACCCGCTAGGCAGCTGTTCGGCATAATATGTAGGTTTACGGATATGTATTCATTGGAGAATACGGACCAGGTGACGAAAACCGCCGAGATGGTCTCAACAGCGATGAGCATTGAAGGGGAGCTGCTATCGTGGGAGTCAAATCTCCCGCATACATATAGATATACCGATCCTGACAAGGGCCACGGACATTCTCATCACGTTTACGCATGCTCCTTGCAAGCGTTCATCTGGAACCAATACCGCACATGTCGGGTCCTTGTCCATACCATGCTGTTACGATATCTCGATTCCCTCGCTTTACCTATCACGCAGGCACATCCCGTGCTGATGGCGGCTTATGCCTCGCAACGGGAAGCGTCGCGTAAGATTCTGGCGACAATGATGCTCGACATTCGCGGCAGCGCGTCGTATATCTTCGGGCTGTATGATACGACCAAGGCGAACAGTTCTTTGTCGCCTGAGCATTCGGGGGTGTTTGGGTTGCTGGGCGCGATACAGGTTTTGATAGGTGTGGTAGATATCAGCGGTGAGGATGCCGATTGGTTGAGTGAGATGCTTGAGGTTATGGGGAGTCGGTGGGGGATTGGGCAGGCTTTGGTGTTGGGAAGATGTCTTAGGACGAGGAGTCGAGTGGGTTTAGAATATTGAATGAATTACCGGTTGATATACTTGTATGATAGCGGCAGGCTTATAGTCAATTTATCAAAGACATATCTGTGTTATACATGATGCTCTCTACTGGGCAAAAGCAGACTTGCCATCAACAATGTTGACCACCTTTCTGTCCTGCACATACACCTCGACCCACCCAATCGTGACCTGCATCTTGGTACTATCAAACATGTACTGCTCGTCAGGCTGCATCTTGACAGGATACTCCGGATCCGAAGTAGCCTTCCACAGATCCTCGGGGTTGTGGACAAAGAACTCGACGTAGCCGTCAAACGGCGCGACAACAGCCCCCACTGTCTCTGCGAGGGCAGAGGCTAGGTTGCGTGTCTCGGGAGGCGTGTGGTACTACACGACAGTTAATACGTCTCACTTCAGCATGAATTACTGGGAATAATACGAGTACTTTGAGAGACATGGGGTTGAGTTACCTGTGTGTATCCCACGATTCCGTTGCGAGCGAGCCAGCTAGAGGCGATTGGTGCGTGGTGCTCGCTCCAGTGTTTTTGGAATTCCTCATCGCTGATGTTGGGGTTCTTGTACTGCATGAGCGTTAAGCGGAGGAGTCTTTGCTTGGTGGCCATTTCTTTTTTCGGGTGGATGAACTAGTATGATAGAGAGAATGAGGTTCTTTGAGTTTTAGGTATTGACTTTTTGAGTTGATGGACGACTACGTTGGACATGGCAGCATGGCTTTATACTTGATGGCACACTCAGGCAGACAGGAGAACAAGGCATACATTTCTAAAGGATTGCGAGCTTATCCACGACTTCAAAATGCGAGTTGGAGCTGATTTTCACACATCGTGGAGTTGTTGTTGCGCTACTCTGCGAGTTGTCTTCCGCTTTCAGCCATCTTTTCTGTAAACTATGGGGCTGCGAGGTTCTTTCGGCGGATCGCGTAAAGCAAGCAGCGCTAATAAACGATTGCGTTGCCGTTTTTGGAATCGGGATTTGTGAGCGTTAAAAGGCTTCTAAATCCCCGCCTCTATATGTAATACAAAGTGAGCTGTCCTTGGGGCACAGACAGGCAGTCGAGGTTGATATTAGCAGCCAGTTGGATTAGTAAATAGGCATTGGATCTTTTGTTAATAGCTAATTGGCAGCGAGGAGGCGTACCTTTGAACCAGACTGATTACATGTACCATGAAACACAGCACAAGAGACCTAGCGTTTCCAACTACGATAAAGACCAAGGCGCGAGAATAAGTCAGGGAACCATTTTATCTATACATGTAGTTGTTGAGGCCTCGTTCCTCCGGTAAGACAGCTTCTGAAAGCTCGTAGATCTGATCGAAAGCCACGCTAACCGCAGCTACGGGGTTATCCAATTCAGCGCCAACAGCGATACATCTAAAACATTGACAGAGAATTGAGTATCCTAACGAGAGAGTTTGCGTGTATAGCCTGGATAAGTATGGCAATATATATTTCTCAAAATCTGTAAAACGGAATCACGGAATTTTGGAGTTAGTATCTTTAAGTCCGCCCATGACCCAATTCCAGATGTGGTATCCGAAGCAGGATTCTATCGCACCTGATTGGTCGGGTCGGATCTTTCTCTTGTAGATTGGTGCCCTCTATCTCCGTTTCATCGACAACGCGAGGAAGAGGTTAATAATCGGCAGCTTTGATGTCATGGAAATGCCTAATAATGGATGGCAGACGAGCAGAATTAGCTAAAGTAGAGATGTACCGCATTTTCATAAATAACGCTTCCTTTCCTTCTCTGTGATCAATTCACTCGATCCAGCAGAGCTCTTACAACTGAATCACCATTAGGACACTCTTCTAGTCTTGCTCATCTTGAACCTGAACAATACAAAATGGCACCGAAAGTCAACCGAAATATCCTGGGGGCAGCCCCTACTCCAGTTAGCCCATTGAACAAATACCGTCTGCTATCTCCATCTGCTGCTGTGAGAGTCAGCCCACTTTGTCTTGGAGCGATGAGCTTTGGCTCGGGATGGTTTGTGTCGCGTACGCCGCTGATGATAGACATCCTCTGACCTTGGTGTTAGGAAAGGATATTTGGGAGACTGCGATCAAGAGGCCTCTGAAGAGATTCTTGACGTTTTTTATCAGCAGGCAAGTCATATGCGTCTAAGATATGATTGACATGAATTATTGACTAACGAAAGCTCTAACTAGGGAGGTTTGTTACATTTGCATAGATCAATGTTTTTCTTTCTTAGCGGATATACGTGGCTCACATCTTCATACTACCTAGGCAACTTCATTGATACGTCCAACAATTATCAACTGGGGGAGTCTGAAACGATTATTGGCGAATGGATGAAAAAGCGCGGGAACCGTGACGAGCTGGGTGCGATTCTCTCATGATTTTATATATACATTAAGTCGTTTTTATGCTAATGAATTTGCTTGGTTCAAGTGATTGCTACCAAATACACGACGAATTACGAAAACATTCCCACCTCGAAGAAAATAAAAGCCAACTATACCGGTAACGGCTCTAAAAGTCTCCATGTCTCTGTCGAAGCAAGCTTGAAGAAGCTGCAGACTGATTATATTGATCTTGTGAGCACCCTGTTATCCAGTCACTCGTTGATGCTGACTTCTTTAGCTTTATGTCCACTGGTGGGACTTTAGCACCTCAACTTCAGAGCTGATGCAATCCCTGAATAACCTCGTGGTTTCCGGAAAGGTCTTGTATCTAGGAATTAGTGACAGCCCGGCCTGGGTCGTGAGGTATGTTCATCAAGTACAACAGTGCAGATTTCTGGATCACTAACCGAGTACGTACACAGCAAAGCGAATGAGTATGCAAGAAACCACGGCCTTCGACAGTTTTCTGTATACCAGGGGCGTTGGTCCGCCGCCGCACGCGACTTTGAACAAGACATTATCCCCATGTGCAAGTCTGAAGGCATGGGTCTAGCTCCCTGGGGTGCTCTCGGAGCTGGTAGATTCAAGACCGAAGAGCAACGTAACGCCCCAGGCGGACGCAATGTGGCGGCAACCGAAGAGGAGATCAAGGTCAGCAAAGTGTTAGAAACTGTTGCCACTCGCAAAAACTCGATCATAACGAGCGTTGCGCTGGCATATGTGATGCAAAAAGCACCCTATGTTTTCCCCATCGTTGGAGGCCGCAAGGTAGAGCAGCTGAAGGAGAATATCGCAGCCTTGACGCTCAAGCTGACCGAGGAGGACATTGCGGAGATTGAAGCTGCAGTGCCATTTGCATTGAACTTTCCGTATGACCTTTTGTGGGGGGCAAAGGTCCCTGACAACGTACAGGATGTTAATCTTCTCGACAATGCTGGTAACTTTGAGTACGTGCCAGAGCAACAGGTACGTGATCGGCCATGAGCCTGGATACATATCCACGCTGGATTGTTATTAACTTGAATAGCCTATTTCGCCATCCTGGGATGAGGAATAGCTTACCTCTGGCTTGGAATCTGGAAGGAAATTGTGAATATTTCATCCTTTGGCCAATCCCACGAATATTGCAGCATAGAATTTGAGACAATTCCTGATTGTTAACTATATGTAATTCTCAATTCATCTATTTCAAATTTAGCTTCTTCAACTTCCAACATAACTATCGAAGACTCCAAGTCACCTTCTTCAGCTCCTTTCTAAACAATGTCTCCCCTCAATCCCCTCCATTCCACAATCTGGCAAAATATGCGGTAGCATCAGAGTCCCAAACGCGAGAACTAACGCTATCTTCCAATGCCACGTCAAACTCTTGATTGTCTGTGATCCACTCGCCCCTTCCCCGATATCGACTACAAAATAATATTGCTTTACCGCCGGCACGCTCAGGCAGAGAAATTTTAATATCGTTGAACCGTGATAAGGGAGGTACAACAGGCAGCTCACTCTGCCCTAGTTGATAGGTCGGCACAATATCAAGCTCCTTATAAATGCCCCCTTCTTCTCTAGCCATGAAGTATTTTGCCATGCGAGCCACAAGAGGGCCGCTCCAGGCCCCTTCTCGATGAGGAGCCGACATGAGAATTTCGATGGCCATCCGCCGCAAGTTGGGCTGACGACACTTGACAACTGTGTAATATAATGGTGGAATAAAACCCATATCTGCCGTGAAGCAAACCGCAGGCATTACATATCCGGTAAGCTTTTTGTATGCCACGTACGCGTTGTGCATGATGTCCCATAACTTGACTGCTTGCTTAAGAAGGGCCCCGAAATCTGGGTTATACGAATCAAAGATGGTCTCATCGGTGCCACGCAAAGATGTTGCGGCCATGATTGTGGCCATTGTATGATACAGACGCAGAAGAGGTGTACGATACATTTTCCGTGGGGTGAGATTCGCAAGTAATCCTCTCTGGCTGGAGTTGAAAGCCTGCAGCCACCGTATCAGGGCGACGTCGAGTTCCTCTTTCCATCGATATACCTGCTCTGAGGTTTGCCTTTGGTTGTGAAGGATATTTCTACCCTGCTGTGTTAGATTATAGACGCCGTTGATAAGAGAATCAAGATGTTTTCGAGCTTCGGTATGGTTCTCAAAATGTGATGGAATATTGTATTTTGGTCCGTCTGGCGCGCGTTCACTAACAAAGATGTGATGGGTTGACACTTGTCCGAAAAGCATTGCCTGGATGTTGAGTCGAGCAAACACTTCAACTAACGCGTCCTCGACAGAGTGAGGATGCGTCCGCAAAATAATAGGACCATCCAACGATGTGATGCCCTGACGTGTTTGGATTTCTCGAAGGAGTTGCATGCCATTGCTCAAGTGCGCATGCCCGGTTTTAAAGCCTCCTCTGAGCAACTCAAGACAGGCGAAGATCATACATGTTATCAGTGACACGCGGAGTGCGTCATTGTCCAGACGATTTAGATGTCGACGAAGATGGTGTATTGCCTGGTTGTACTCCACCAAAGAGATTGCCTCCTCGTTCTTATGTGCTGCACCAAGAGCAGTTGCCGCATGTAGAACGGCAGGATCTTCAACGAAAGCTTGAAACACCAGCGAATTCCAGAACCCGGATTCAAAGACCCCCGGCAATTTGTTGACGGTATACGTGCGAAAGTATTCAAACCCGATGCTGTAGAGTTTCCCAGGAACCTCGTGAACTTGAGAGAGCACAATGGTGTTTGAGAGCGTACTGGCTCGCCCGTCTTTGCGCTTGCCGGGGGCTTTGCTAATACTGTCCCAGATTCCGTAGCCGTCACACACGCGACCCGTTGAGACGCATCTTTCACATGAAGGCCTTGCCTCGTCACATTTGACTCGACGTTTTCTTTTTCGGTTCGTCAGCTGGACCAACTTGTGATTGAATAGCCGGAATATATCACGGTGGACGGACTGCGTACTTGCAAGTGAGACAGCCTGTTTTCACCTTGCGGCGGTTTTGGGGCTTATTAGTTCTCGGGACTTTGGGCGCTTCCATCACGTTCTTCAAACTGGTCCGACCGGGAGCTACAGTAGCAAAAGTCTATGGAATAATTGAAGGTAGGACAAACGAACAATAATGAGAAATAAATAAATGAATAAATAAATAGATAAAAAGGAGTACTCTCGGAGAGTGGCCAGTTGCTGAGACGCACGCCTCTGAGATGCCAAAGTAATGAGGTAACTGTTAAAGATTATCTACTGGTTGCCTCGGATCATTCGCCTCATGATTGGCTGGAACCGTATCAACCCAAAGATGCCCAGCACTAGGTAGTTCCTCTCCCACGCTCTTTCGGGTGACGGACGGAGTTACTGTACATAAAACCCGGTCGCCCATTAGTCCTGGATTTCACCTGGAACATATCACCAAGACATCTCTGAGATGAGCTAACAAAAAAGTCAATAATCATATATGCAGTTTTAGAACCTTGCGCCTCTCTATAATTATCGATATACTGCATAGAAAACTGACGTCGTGTGGCTGCAAATACGCTTGAAATAGACATGTGCGACTAAGGCGTAGCTGAGTGTCTTTTTACACTGCGAAAGGTGTTGTCGGATCTATATTCCAGTTACAGATCACGAAGAACAGAATCTGTACCTTTTAGCCACTTTATTCGACGATGCTATCTTCACATCAACGAGTGGTACTGGTAAAAGATCGTACGCTCAATATTTCTCTTCCGAAAACGATCAAAGCTGTAGAACGAGGAAATTAACCAGAGCGGACTTGCCATCTCCATTAAATAGAGGCATCATTTGTATTATCTCTTCGATTTCTTGATCATGGAAGCGTGGATTCTAGTAGACCTCTTCCTGCGGCGGTTAATCCCCATTTGTATTATCTCAAAGTAATATGCTGGCTAAAAAGCGACCTTATTTCACTCAGAGACGCCATATGGATACCACGTATAATAAAGGAGTAGAAATACTCGAGTAAAATATATTAGATTGAATCTTTGTGAGTTTGTGGGCCGCCACGCTGCGCATTGAAGGAGACGATGTTGGTGCACCAAGACGCAGACGAATTGCATATATGAGGGCTGGCCATTCAGTATCTCGTGTCCCAATTTTGACACGTAGTGAGGACATTAGATGCTACAAAACACACACAAGCGATATCATCAGAGGCACTTGAAGAACTAGGTGCCTTGTAGATAGAAGGCGCATCCTCTGCGATTGTTTACGACTCTCAAACTCCACGTTCTCACTTGGAGTGTTGGATAGCCACTCTCCATACCTATCCATCTATACATTTAATCTCATCAAACGATTATGTAACCGCAAGCTGCCAATTTAATCTACAATCAACAAGGTCAAGGGTTCACGGCTGTCCGGTATTCACATTCAATAAGCGACATCCGGAGGGAACCAGAAGGCGCACAAAAGAAAGGCAAACATGTGCCAAGAGGATAAAACTCTGACGGCGGGGTGAAAACACGAGTTTTTCTAGCCTTGAACATGTCACCTTCCGGATTGGAAGCTGATGAGCATTCCGCTAGAAGGAAACATCAAGAGTCATCTAGTATATGAGATGTATCTGTATCTGTATCATTGTTTGCTGTGTTCGCTTGCCAATTGGTGGCAATTCACGTCAAGGCAGTTCATATGTGATGAAGCTCTGAATGACGCAATGGCTCTGCGAACAAACTAGAACGCAGCCAAATGATGGAGATGAATTTTGTATAAAGTATTCTGAGCTGTTGCCGTAGTGTGAGGTGAGCATGCCCGGAGGAGCTGTATCCACACCATGTGAGAAGCTGCCCTATCGAGATGACGTGCGACTGGACTGGACAGCGAGCTTTATGCTACATTTACGGATGACCGCTTTGGACAGGCTAAACAACCAACAAGAAGGAGATTAAAGCTGCCATGTAACAGTTTATCCGTTCCTGCGGGCCATTATCATGTTGCATCAGCCAGTTATTCCGACTGGTGCATGGACATGGATGACCAGAAGCTGGGATGATCAGGAGCTGGGAGACTTTAGAAAAGCCTCAGCGCCATCCAGTAATGGCGACTTGGACCATCCCAAGACTCAATGGCATAATACTAAACAGTGTCGGACTAAATGCTTGCCACGAGGGGAGAAAATGGAATTCTTCACAGACGCCGATTCCCAAGTTTGCAGACACCGCGTTGGGACCAGACCTTTCACTCCAAAGCCACTGCCGGCCAGTGTCCGATCCGGCAACTCGTCCCGAAAATTCTAGCGCAGTGCCGTCTCCGTCCTAGACCCCAAAACAGCTGGGCCGCAAATCTTTTCACAGGCCGGCTTGCGCGCCTCTTGTCTGCACTCCGTAAACTGCCATGCTGGTACGGATGTGAGTGCATCAACAGTGTGGGCGGGGCCCTATTGATCTTCAGGGACCGTGTTCCTTGTTCCGCGCCAGCATCGGCGATCCCGGCTTGTTCGGGTTCTCACCGGCTAACCCTTTGCCTTGCGCAAACTCTGCGAGGGAGATATCTAAATGGCCAATGGCAGATCCGGAAGATGGGGCCAATAAGTAGGGGAAATCTGCCCGCCAAAGCAATTCGAGACAGGTCGGCTGTCGGGGGTTCCCTCTCCACGTTGCTAGAAGCCGAGATGCATTGGTTCATGCCTCTCCGTCTCCCCTAAAGATGCAGGCCAGCTCGTTGCGTAGGCAGCTTAACCTCTTCCGAGTAGAGCCGCACATCCAAATCTCACCTCCTTTTCTTCCCATTGGCAGCCAAACGAGCCCTTGGGCTGTCAAAATGCGGGCATAAAATTTCTCGCACCCAAAACAAATGCGCTCTTGATTCATGGTTGGGTGCCACCAGAATGGTGTCATTCAGACCATGCGTGGCGTTGCACGCTAAAGCGGGATCCGTTGTCGCCCTGGTCTTCTCCAAACGATGACGGCTGGGAGTAGCGCGGGGCAAAATCTTGAGAATCCCCGATGAATAATGGGAAAAGCCGTATTATCTGTAAGATTCTCCAAGGGTCCAAAAGGGTCTTTCGAGGCCATCTGAAGAATCAGCACGTAGCAGAAAGTCTAATTCCAGCTGATTCGGATCTCATATAAAGAGTTCTGGCATGCCAATGGCCACCGTTTCGTGTCCTGTGCGTCGCACTTTGTACTGTAAGAGGATTGTTGGCGCAGATCCGGTATTGCGAAATTTGAACCACGGTCCACCTCATTAAGTGGCAGTCACGCAATCGATCTTGGTACTCGATATAGTAGGTACGCATCTGCCTCTGGGCCCATAACCCCACGACTCGTGGCATCATTGAGTAAGATATCTCGTGATTGCTCCTGTTCAACCGCTTAGCTTAGCCGCTGTTGGGAGCTGAGACGAGTTCATCTGCGAAAACCGGGCGGTGTACAGGCGGCTCGGCGTTGTGTCACATCCAGCCAGCCACTGCAAAATAAATACTCTTTTGACGTCCCATCCATCTCCGACCCTTTTCTCCCCCCTTTCTGTCTTTATTCTTCCCCAGGAAAGCGAATTGGTTCGATAAAAGCCGGATTGTATCCCCCCACACAGACGGTTCTCTCTCTCGAACACAATCCTCAGTATATCCATAATCAATCATCATGGCCGCTTCAGTCGAGTTGGTGCAGCCTGTGGACGTGGCCTTATTGCCCAAGGAGGCCACCCCGGTTTTGGAATTGAACCCTTTTGACGAAGAGAGGTTCATCGTCAAGTCGCCATACACGGATAAGGAGCATCTGCTTGATCTGGATACCCTTTCCCACGAAGGCGCCATATTGGCGAGGGCTTTGCAATCCTTCAAGTCGATTCGCGATGACTATGCCACTGCGCCCTATGTCGAATCATTCAACTGGCCTGAAGTCCTCGATGAGGTGAAACGCTTGGTTCAACAATCCGGAAGGCCGTTCAGGGAGATTTCTTTCTACATTGTCGCATTCCGGTCGCAGATCAAGCCGAGCACTCATTACGGCGACCTTGGCGTGTTGGATAAGGCTTCCCATGCTGAAGCCGTTGCCAGCGGAGGCTTCTTGAAGTAAGAGAGAGACACCTGCGTGCTTCGCCGCTCACTTTGACGTCGTGCTAACCGAACGAACAGATATTGGTTTGGTTCGCCAGACTCCGAGCTCAGAAATCTGGCAACCTGCGTTTGGAGATCGAGAGAAGACGCAATGCTCGGTGGCAGAGGACCAGCGCACCGCAAGGCAGTCGGCGCCACGCGAAACTTGTATGCTTTCTGGAAGATTGACCAGCACCGACTCACCATCCGCGACAATGCGGACGACTGGGTGATTGAGGACTGGGAGTGAAATAATGGGCATTTGACATCTAGCCTGAGCAACTTTGCTTTGGCTGCCCAGTTTCGACTTGAGAGAGTGTGAGACAAGGACGATTCTTTTCTTTGCGCAAAACACGGGACTTTGGAGTATTCTGGGATATGTTTGGGATTGAAAAGCGTCATTGCAAAGGTGCAATTCTCTTTTATGCATGATATCATTAGGGGCAAGCGAGCATTGTGTTGGGATTTCAAAACCAAAAAAACAAGCATTTGGAGGATAGAGTAGAAATAGACTGAAGTAATACTTGCATGATTTGACAAAAAGAAACCGATTTGCAGTGAGGCGCGAGACGCGAGACGCGCCCGGCACAGCCATGGCATCAAGACTCCTGAATGCTTGGCTAGGGCATGTTGACTTGTGAATGTTTTGTGAGATGTAAATCTGCATGTATTCGTCTACTTATGGCTATTTCTAGAGTGTCGCAAAAGTCATTTCGAGAGGCGGCGAATCCCGTTGTGATGCTGCAAATGTCGCAAGATAAGGTTGGAGGACGCAAAAGGTTGGCGGTTTGGCGGCGTATTTGGCCCCCTCAAATTCTGCCGCCGCCCACCGCCCCGAACCCACAACGCCCACAAATCTGGTAGGCGAAAAGTTCGATATTCCCAACACCAAGAGCGAGCGCTCCTTGAAGCTCATCATCCAGCGACTCTCGGCGTCAACCTCGGCTCGACACCCGCCATTTCTCTCCGCCACGCCTCACCGAATCTCCCAAAATGAGCGAAGCTCCGAAAGACGCGCCTTTCCAGGCGGTGCAGGTCGATGCTCTGGTGAGTTGCAGCTCGCATTGCCCCACCTTGCCTCGATGAAGAAGATGCAACGAACGACTGACAACCCGGCAAAGGTCATTCTGAAAATCGCCAGACACTGCTCATCGACCTTCCCGACCGTGGCCACCGGCTCCCTCGTGGGCATGGACCAGAACGGCACCCTGGAAATCACAAACACTTTTGCCTTCCCCACCGTCGACAACTCCTCCGCCGATACCCATCAGAGCGATGCCACAAACGCTGCCGCCGCGGCACCCCGCGCAAAGGCCAACATTACATACCAGGGCGAGATGATCCGACACCTGAAGGAGGTCAATGTGGATGCCAACAACGTCGGATGGTACACAAGCGCCACCATGGGCAACTTTGTCAACCTTGCCTTTATCGAGAACCAGTTCCACTACCAGAAGGACAACGAGAAGACCATTGCGCTGGTCTATGACACCAGCCGCAGCTCACAGGGAACCTTGGCTCTGAAGGCCTACCGCCTGACCAACCTCTTCATGACTGTTTACAAGGAGGGCAAGTTTACGACTGAGAGGTGAGTCGGTTTGTGTGCAAGGAAACGCGGGAATTCGGCATTGGTGGGTTGGACATGATGCTGACGTGTTTTTTTTTTGTTTTGTGAAATAGCCTGCAAAAGTCCAAGCTCTCGTTCCGCGACATTCTCCAGGAGTATCCTCTCAACGTCTACAACTCACACCTCCTCACCTCCTTCCTTCACCAGCTGCCCTCGCCCGCGATCGCCTCCGAGGCCAAGGAGCCAACCCTCAGCGAGCTCAACAACGACCGCATCAAGGCTCCTCTATACCCTTCCATCGAAAACCTGGACCTGTCTGTCGACCCCTTCCTTGAGAAGACGTGCGACCTGCTGCTCGAGAGCATCGAGTCCCACTACGTGGAACTCAACAACTTCCAGTTCTACCAACGCCAGCTGGCGCGTGAGCAGACCAAGATTACACAATGGCAGGCCAAGCGAAAGGCGGAGAATGCGCAGCGCACTCTTGCCAAGCAGGCCCCGCTACCGGAAGACGAGTGGCAGCGGCTGTTCAAGCTGCCTCAGGAGCCCAGCCGGCTGGAGGGCATGCTCAACGCCAAGCAGGTTGAGCAGTACAGCAAGCAGGTGGACGGATTCACGGCCAACATCAGCGCAAAGATGTTTGCCGTTCGGGAAAACCTGCTGCCCCAGTAAGCGGATTTGATGCTCAAGTTACAAAAAAACTCTTGTAAAGGTCTTTAGTGGGGTGAGGCAATTGGCGGCAGGGTGCATTGACGGCGTTCCGGTTTGGGTGGAATATAATAAAGTACTTCTGGTCTAGATCTGCAGCAACAAGCAAGAGAGTCATAAAAAGAAGTGTTTGAAATGAAGGATTTCTACGGCTTCGACTTGTATTTTGCTGTTACGGTAGATACCTCTGTGAACTTTTCTTCTTCTTTACCTAGGTTAATTTTTTTTCTTCATCTTCTTCCATATCTTTACCGCCTGCTGGTGTGTCCTACTGGCAGACGGTCCATCTCTCGCCCTTTGGCTTCATTTCTACTGCAATTAATCACCTCGCCTTTCCTGTGCCTCTTCCCGTTTGCTTATAACGAAACTCGGGGCTTTTTCCCCTGGGCTTGTTGCTGATACGCAGGATGCATGCGGGGAATCCTGAAGGGGAAAAGCACCGGCGGCAGAAGGACGAAATATCGCCGTAACAGTAAGTACCCAAGGTAAGACAGGACACACGGCGATTAGGCCGACTGAGGCCCAAGGAATTAAACCTATGGAGTATATACGAGTACGAGCAAGAGATGGATTCTATTAGTACAAGTTGATGGTTGAGTTTTAGTTCGGCTCATCGGCGTCTGTACGTATGCATGTATATACGTGTATTTTGTTGATTTGCTCCCCATTGAAGCTACGAGCCTAAAGCAATGCAGAAATGCACATGAATCTTGATCCGCTGATGCCCAAAACATGCCCGCGCTTATTCTCTGCTCTGCTTGTCCCATCCATGTCCCATCCATCTGACAGGCCTCAACGCAACGCCCATAATCACCGCAGCAAATCCCCCAGCTCCTGCGTATCAACCACCCCGGCCTGGTGAGACGTGGCCTGGCCTGGCCTGGCCTCGCTATTTTTCTTTTTTTGCATGTGCAAGCAAAAATCGGTGCCATTGGGGGATCCCCAACAACCATAAGCCGTCAAGTGTGCAAGTCCAGCCGCCCTTCTCATTCGCTCCTCAGAAAATCGAAAATCCATCCGAATCTAATCTGCCCCGCTTGGTGAGAAATTTTGCCCCTCTAAACACACCGCCCGCTTTTCAACGGGCTTCCCCTCCTCGGCCGCTGCTTGTAACTTCTTTTTATTTGGGCACATCCCACCTGATTTTTCTTCTTCTCCTACCTCTCTGCTCTCTCCATCCCGCACTCAATTCCTCCTCCCACGCCTCTTTTTTATTTTTTATTTACTTCTTCATCAGTCCTTGGGCCTCTTCTTCAGCTCAATTCCTCACTATGTCTGCCCCCGCCCACAAGTTCAAGGTCGCCGACCTGTCCCTGGCCGCCTTTGGCCGCAGGGAGATTGATCTCGCTGAGAACGAGATGCCCGGTCTGATGGCCATCCGCCAGAAGTATGCCGCCGACCAGCCTCTCGCCGGTGCCCGCATTGCTGGCTGCCTGCACATGACCATCCAGACTGCCGTCCTGATCGAGACCCTCGTCGCTCTCGGTGCCGAGGTCACCTGGACCAGCTGCAACATCTTCAGCACCCAGGACCACGCCGCCGCTGCCATTGCCGCCGCCGGTGTCCCCGTCTTCGCCTGGAAGGGCGAGTCCGAGGAGGAGTACAACTGGTGTCTCGAGCAGCAGCTGGTTGCTTTCAAGGACGGCAAGAAGCTGAACCTGATCCTCGACGACGGTGGTGACCTGACCTCCCTGGTCCACTCCAAGTACCCCGAGCAGCTCAAGGACTGCTACGGTGTCTCTGAGGAGACCACCACTGGTGTCCACCACCTGTACCGCATGCTCAAGGACGGCAAGCTGCTGGTCCCTGCCATCAACGTCAACGACTCCGTCACCAAGTCCAAGTTCGACAACTTGTACGGCTGCCGTGAGTCCCTCATTGACGGTATCAAGCGTGCCACCGATGTCATGATTGCTGGCAAGGTTGCCGTTGTTGCTGGATTCGGAGATGTCGGCAAGGGCTGCGCCATGGCCCTCCACGGCATGGGTGCCCGTGTCATCGTTACCGAGATCGACCCCATCAACGCCCTCCAGGCTGCCATGGCCGGCTACCAGGTCACCACCATGGAGAAGGCTGCCCCCATCGGCCAGATCTTCGTCACCACCACGGGCTGCCGTGACATTCTGACTGGTGCTCACTTCGAGGCCATGCCCAACGACGCCATTGTTTGCAGTAAGTTTGAATCACAATCCAATACTGTCTCATTTATTTTGCAGGCGAGCTAACAGCCGCAACCAGACATTGGCCACTTCGACATTGAGATCGATGTTGCTTGGCTCAAGGCCAACGCCAAGTCTGTCCAGAACATCAAGCCCCAGGTCGACCGATTCACCATGGCCAACGGCCGCCACATCATCCTCCTGGCTGAGGGTCGTCTGGTCAACCTTGGCTGTGCTACCGGCCACTCTTCCTTCGTCATGTCCTGCTCCTTCTCCAACCAGGTCCTTGCCCAGATTGCTCTGTACAAGGCCCAGGACAAGGCTTGGTCTGAGAAGTACGTCGAGTTTGGCAAGACTGGCAAGCTCGAGGTTGGCGTCTTCGTCCTCCCCAAGATTCTGGATGAGGAGGTTGCCAAGCTGCACCTGGCCCACGTCCAGGCTGAGCTGACCACCCTCTCCCCCGTCCAGGCTGAGTACCTTGGCCTTGCCGCCGAGGGTCCCTTCAAGGCCGAGATGTAAGCATTTCTTCCTCCCCATGATTAACGTCAAGCCGAACATGTACTGACCAAGCTTCTTCCTTATAGCTACCGCTACTAAGCACCTTTCATCTATTCATACATACCCCCAAGGATCCTTCAACTGGACTCCTACGTGTAACGACATTTCATCCGGGTCTATCCGGTCAATGGGCACACTTGTGATTTCAACAGCATCATGAACTGGCAGGGGGGCATATATATGGGCAGGGAAAATATAAACGCCCATGGGTTTTGGTTTTTATTTTATTTATGATTTTCATTTTCATTTTCGTCCCCCTTTTCTTTCTTCTTTTACTCAAAGACTTGGGGTTTTTCTCGCTGGGCGGATGGGGCAGAAAAGAACTGGCCTTTTCAACAAAAACGGCGTCGGGTAAATTTATTTTTGCTAATGATGATTCCCCCCAATGGCGAGAACAACGTGATACACACAAAGATATCAGATGGGAGAGCTCAGAGATGGGCAGTATTCGAGGAAGCCCGTCAACCGCGGCTGCAGTGGATGGACATAGCAATTAGAAAAAAAATGAAAATGGCGGGCAACGATGTTCTGGGCAAAGCAGTGTTTTTCCATGGCTTGCAAGTGAATGAGTGGAAGTGTGTGAGCTCGTACTTGGTACTGATTTCGTTGTATGTACGTGGACTTTTGTCATTTGACTTGCATCGAAGATGTCATGGGACTTAGTCGTTATTCCCTTTCAATCGCTCGCATCACATTTCTGGTCATGACTTTAGAACAAAGTCCATCTAGTGGCCAAATCTTAGCAGACCACGCTTTTCATTTTCCCTCTTCTAATTCTATAACATGATATGACGCATTTTTCAACAAACCAGACACGGGATCAAAACCTCACAGCTTCGAGCTCCTAGCAGCACCGCCATGCAGTCACGCAGCCAGCTTCGCCTGCTCAGGCACGATGCTCTTGAGCTTGCCCTCCTTGACGGCCAGGCGCACATTGTCAATGGTCCACTCCTCCATCTTCTGCTGGGTCTCCTGGGTCCAGGTGCCCATGTGGGGGACGAGCAGGACGTTTGGGTTGTCGAGCAGGCGCGGGTGGATCTCGGGCTCGTTCTCGTAGACGTCGAGGCCGACGGAGGAGACTTGGCCGGAGGCGAGGGCGTCGACGAGGGCGGCCTCGTCCATGACTGCGCCGCGGGCGGTGTTTACGATGACGATGCCGGGCTTCATGAGGGCGAACTGGGGGGCGGCGATGGTGTGGCGGGTGCTGGGCTGGAAAAAAGATGTAGCGTTAGCTTTGTAAATATTCAAGGGGGGTGAATAAGTTGTTGCTCTCGGAATAGTGATAAGGGAATGACTTGCGTTGAGAGGCAGATTCAGGCTCAGGACGTCGCTCTCCGCCAGCAACGTCTCGAGGCTGACGTACTCGGCGCCGTCCTCCAGCTCAGGGCTCAAGCGCGAACGGTTGTGGTATCGGATGCGCATGCCAAAGGCCCTCGCCTTGGTGGCGACGTTGCGGCCGATGCCGCCCATGCCCAGGATGCCCAGGATCTTGCCCTCGGGGTCGTGGCCCAGCGCGGGAGGAGGAGAGCCGCGCCACTTGCCGGCGCGCAGGGCGTTGATGCCGATGGGGAGGTTGCGCAGGGCGCCGATGAGCAGCCAGATGGTGACGTCGGCGGTGGCATCGTCGACGGCGGTGGGAGTGTTTGAGACGCGGACGTCGTGGGCGGTGCAGGCGGGGATGTCGACCTGGTCGTAGCCGGCGCCTGTGATGAGAGTTTATGGTTAGCTTGTTTTCTGATCTGCTTTGTATTGTTCATTGCCTTTCTGGAGAGAGACAATGGGGTGTAGATGGGTAGATGGAGAGTAGAGTGTTGGTGTTTTCTTACCGTTGTGGCACAGAAACTTGATGCTCTTGGGGAACGCGTCCAACAGCTCGCTGTCAATCTTGCCCGTGATCTTGACGGAATCAAATGTTCTGTATGTGACGCTGATGCCGTCCAGGGCGCCGGATCTGCACTCGGCAATGAATTCGTCTCGGTTGGTGGCCTTGGGCTGGACCACGTCTGCGATGTCGGCGATGGTTTGCCATGCTACGTGAGCGCTTGTACGAGAGAGTGATTGTCAGTCTCTGGATGCAACAAGCTTTGACTTGGGAATAATAGATTAAGAAGAGGAGGTTCTGAGGGAGGTTGTTTCTGACTTACTGGTCAATCTTGCCTAGGAGGAGGACCTTGGGACGGCTCATCTTGGAGGAAAATTGTCTTTGTGTAGATGGAATTGGGTAAGAGGAGGAGGGGACGATGCAATTAGACCAGCGTCAAGGGGAGGGTATCTAGAGGGAGGAAACGGAGAATTATAAAACAATTGGAATTCTAGCAAAAAAGACGAAATCTAGTCAAAGAACGAAACAAGATCAAGGGATTTTGAAAGGAGAGGAGAGGAGAAGAGCAGAGAAGAAGAAGAAATGGGATTCATCAGACCGGGTCCATCATCGCCGTCAAAGTGGGTTGTAGTCGCGAAGGCGCCGTTTCGGCGGGGTAAAACGCTAGCTTCACTAAAAACTGAGGAATTGGGTCCCCTGTAGCGCGGGGGGTTTTGGCAGCGTGGGGTTTTCCATTGTCAGTGTTGATTTTGGTTGATCGTTTACCTGCTGGTTCTGCTGAGATTGAAGATGTTGTTTCATATGGCCTGAGAGAAAAAACATTATAGCATTATTGTATTTCTAATTGGATCTATATAGTTAAAGTCTTGTTATATAAAGTCCTGGATTTCAACAGCAAAATGCTCGACAGAAGGAACCTCCAATCTGGCGGACTCAACAACACTCTTGGCTGCATCGCTGTTTCGGGCATCTCCCGCCGAACCGGGTGCCCCCCCATTCAGACAAATCCGGCGCATCTTTGACGGAGAAATTGACTCTGCAGCTGGACACAACCATATACCGTCATAGCAGATTCCATCGCCTTCAAAATGTTGATTATGCTGGTGGGAAGTTATCCCGGGATTCATCGAGTTTGTCCGTATCGTCAATGAAATACAGCATGTGTCTGGAGAGTCAACAGTCTAACTTGATGGCCATATACTCATATAGACAAGTACTGAGTAGAGATGCGCGGCTATAGGTAAACGCGCGCTGCATGCTGTTTTTACGCTTCGGATGGCCGTTGCCGAATTGAATTTATCCATGGCTTCGGCGAAATCGGAGACTAACAGATGCATCATGAAAGCTCGGCTTATAGTCCATCCATCCATTTCTAGGGTCACGACTCGAACTCACATCTCTCTACCTAGTACATATTAGTTGATACCCAACCCATCACAGCTGTATATCAAGTCCACAACTTTGCAATGTACATAATGAATAGAGGTTTATTCATTCATATAAAACATCGCTTGCCGTGATCCGAGAATTATACACAACATGAAAGCCGTGGTCTAGGTGGTCCCTCTTCGAATACCAAAACAAACTTTACCAGTCCGCTAATATGCTTCTCATCCATGATGAAAAGGGTTCCGATAACTCCAAAAAGGAAAAAAAAAAAAAAAATCGTTCAAGGTGCTACTTCTAGCAATTTCTTCTCCATATCATGACAGAAGACAACATCCGCCATTCCCATGTCGTTAGGATGCATGGCCCCTAATTTAGATTTCTTTGTTGACAGACCCCGGGATCTTGATTCAATCTCATGTCTCCTCCCCTCCGGGCATATATACATGCCAGCAGGTAGCATTAAATGCGATGAGCGACGCTCAAGGCCATCCTATGCATTCACTATCAAAGGTGCAGTGCGCGCTTCTCAAAACTCCCATGGCCCAAAGACCTGTGTCATCCAGTTAATGTCACCAAATTCGGCAGACAGGTCTTGGTCAGGCAGCATAGAGTGGTCCACCAACAAAGGAGGCTGCGGCGCCGCACCCGGGATAACGGAACTGTTGGGCGTCGGGAGCCCTCCCATGGGTTGCTGTACTATGGCTGGCTCCCAATTCGAGCGCACATTGCGAAGCACCTTTGTGCATTTCCCAAAGATGGATACGTCCTCAGGTCCACCTCTCAGGGGGTACAGCGTCTCCGCCTTTGTGAACAGGTCAATGGTCCTGTCCAGGTAGTTTCCTAGATCTGCCGTGCTGCGGACAATCTCCTTGTCCCAGGCGGGATCATCCATGGTCGTGACTCTGTATAGCAGGGCGTGGATCTGGGCAAGCTCCACATAGAGGGTAAACGGCATGCCAATGAACTCTGCGAGCGGAATGGAAAACAAGACATCATACCAGGCCCGGGCAGCCATGATGCCCGCGTACATGGCGTCGATTCGCGGTGTGTCTGGAATCCTTGGAGCCCCAAAGAGCCCAATCGAGTGGACCTGGGTTTCGGTGCTGTAGAGCTGCATTTGTATCACGGCTGAAGAACCGACAAGAGTTAGCACAAGTTACCCCGACTTTGGCTAGGCTCGAGATATCCGCAACTTACGTTTGGACGCTACTCCCGCGGGTAGAGTATCACGAATCTTTTGTAGCTGGAGGAGCAGACTTCTCTTGTAGACGTACGTGGGGGGCTTATCAGGGTCGGTTCTGCCAAAATCACGACCGACAAAGTCGCATACTAGGAGTTTTCGCGCTTCCTCTCCAACTAGCTGAAGCTTCACCATGGCCACTAAATTCTCGTCTGACGGGTACTCCTTTTCGCTCTCGAGGATTTCTAATGATTCTTGCATGTGCTGCGTCCAGACCAATGACTCTGCTTTGCCAAGGAAAGCCGCACATCTACTTTGTAAATGGTTAAGAAAGATGACGGATAAATGAGAGAGAGAGAGGGAGGGGTGTCCACTTACATTGATGTTATATACCAAAAGCTAAGCACCATCCTCCGCTCTTCCATTGTGCGTTCTTTAGCTGGAGGGGCAGCCCTACCTCCCCAAGCCTTGAAACAGACAGTGGAAAATTGCTCTTCGTTGGGGAATTTTGTGAGGTTCGTCTCGTAGATGATGCAGCTGCATATATGCATGTACAAAGTCAGAAAAGGTTTGCCGCCGACACCAGCGCTCATTGTCGCCCTGTGCAAACAAAGTTGTCAGTCGTCAGTGCGATGGAAGTGGGACACATGGCGAATGTTGGATTTACCAAGACATCAGAGCGATCAAGCCCTGCACAATCTCCGGGCTCCGGTCGTGATTGATAATCATCCGCTGCGCAATCTCCTGGCGCACTCTCTCGCGCATGACGGCCTGCTGCGTCATGGACATGCTTGTGACATTCATGATGCAGAGCCAGAGAAAGGGACGTTCTCTATGTAGAGCTTCGGCCGTGAGGTCGGGGTCTAGGTGTATGAAGGGAAAGTACTCGAGCCATTGACGGAACTTAACCAGGTAGACTTCGGCTTCGCTAGGAGTTGGCTCTGGGAGTCTATCGCTGTCCAACGGCCGGGGCGTCAGACTCAGGATGCTCGAGGAGCGCGGATGCGATGTCGTTGCTGCGTCGGCCAACGAGTCGAGCCGGCTTACATAGGGCTGGCAGTTGGGCGAGGTCGAGGACGAGGGGATGTCGCAGTTGGACACGCCGTTGATGGATGGCTGCGAAGACGACGGCTGCTGCTGCTGCTGCTGCTGCTGCTGCTGCTGCTGCAAATGGCCGACATGATGAGCCTGCTGAGAATGCGGATTCTGATGATGCTGATGCTGTTGCTGCTGCTGCTGCTGCGTCGCCCGCAGAATCGACACCAGGTCGTCGAGCTTCTCCTCCAGCTGGGCGGTCCTCGAGGCGGTGGTCCTCTTGGCCACGCGCTTGCGCGATGTCACCATCTGCTGACACTCTTTGCCCAGGCGATGGCAGCGGTCGCATTTGCCGCCCTCTGGCCTCAGGATGCACCGACACTTGGCGCGCGAGCAGTTGGTGCACGAACGACCGTAGCCGGCCGGGATGCCAGCAGCAGCAGAGGCGGCGTCTGGGGGAGGCGGCGCCGGGACCATTGTCTCACGGGGTGCAAAGAGCCCAAGAGGCGTTTGACCAAGTTTGATGAACCAAACCCGTCCGACGCAATCATTCGCAGTGGTGAGAGCAAAGCATCGACGGGGACGCGCAGCCGGGATTGGGGCGACTCCCTTAATCCGTAGAGGATGGTGGATGGGAAACTGTTCGCGTCTGGGCAGAGCAACGGGGTTCGTTGGAGCCTAGTCATGAATGGCCTGGCTGAATCAGCATCAAATGGTTGGATGTGGCCCGGAGTCCCGGTGGCGGTTGGCATTCCGAAGTCCGAGAGAGCGCGCTTCCTCCAATGCCGCATGTGTGCTGTACGAGTATGCAGCCATTACGGAGTAAACCGACGCTGGTTTTCAACAAGCCTGATTGGGGCGGAAGAGGTGAATCAGAGAGTCGTAAACCATTGATGCTGCAGCGCGTTGCAAGAGGCGGTTGCCTGTAGATTGTGTGGTTGAGGCTGTGCTGCGTATCACCAACCCTGCTGGAGTTCGGGTTCGTGTGAGGGCGGGGCCGGAGAAGTAAATCGGTTGCAAGGGGCCGGTCCAGCTCGTTCAATTGGGCGAATTGCGAGGAAGCCGTCAAGTCGGCAATGCCTTGGCTTTGATACTGCCGACCTGGGTGGGTATGAAGGAGATATCACAGGCTGATGTATACATGTCGAGGTCAGTATACAGACACGGAGCAAATGAGGCTGCCGTGGTCAATCCAACAGAAGCGTTGATTGCTGTCAAGAGGAAAGACACTACAATTCCCTGGTGTAAGTAGTATAAGCCACGACAATGGAATAAATCGGAATACAATGAATTATCCTAGCCATATCTCAGCTCGTGCCAATCTCATATACCTACTCCGTACAGTAAGCAGGGCAACGTTAAATCTCTAGGTACCGCATCTGCCACTTCGGCAAATGTTTTCGCCGCCGACAACCGGCACATGAGCGACTAGCCGAAGCTACCCACCACCACCACCGCTGAAAGCAAGGCCCAATTTACAACTTGCACCATTGAAGAGACACCACAACAACCCGCATCTCACATATCCAGCTCTCTCAGCTCAGCTCAGCTCAGCAAATAGAGTAGCCTCAAGATGGCCGTCACGGGCCTTGTTGCAGTCGAGACGCTGCCCCGGTTCCTCCTCCCACGGCTCAGCTGGACTGCGCCGCTCTCCGCATCTCGACCTGCTGCAGCCCAAACCTTTGCTGCTCTACAAGCACGAACGAAACAAAGGGCAGTGCCCGCCTTCAACACCGATTTCTCGACCAGACGATACAACAATGGCCAGGCACCGGCGCTGAGGCGAGGGTTTCATGCGACGAGTCGACGGCCCCGGGAGCATCATTTCGACACACTCAAGTTTGTCAAGCAGCTCAAGGATGAGGGCTTTACCGAGGAGCAGTCGGTCGCCATGATGAAGGTCCTCAACGACGTCATTCAGGAGAGGTTTGTGTTGGCAATCTTCGAGGGTTCATCACGAGCCGTGCTATTGCTATTGCTAGTGCTAATGCTAATACCAACTCCCCCATGGGAATGCAGCATCCAAAACCTGACCCGAACCATGGTCCTCCGCGACGACGCCGCCAGAACCACGTACACGCAAAAGGTCGACTTCGCCAAGCTCCGTTCCGAGCTCACTTCGGCAGACAGCACCGAGTCCAACACGACGCGCAGCGCCCACGAGCGCCTCACCAACGACATCGCCAAGCTCAGCAGCCGGCTGCGAGACGAGATTGGTCGGACCCAGGCCAGCGTGCGGCTGGACCTCAACCTGGAAAAGGGCCGCATCCGAGAAGAAGCCGTGGGCCAGGAGCTCAAGATCAAGGAGACTGAGACCAAGATTGAGCAGGAGGTGGCGGCGCTGAGGGAGAAGCTGGAGCAGGTCAAGTTCCAGACGCTGCAGTGGCTGATGGGTGTGTGTACCGGTTTTGCGGCGCTGCTGCTTGGTGCTTGGAGATTGCTCATGTAAGGGCATGATGATGCTTCTTGGAGGTGCATTTGCAAACAATCGAGCATTATGCAGTCATGATTCGAGTCCAAAGCGTATATAAAGAGTTTCAATTTTGATTCTGCTCGCCATGATATCATACGACCTATTTCAACATGTTTCAAACTTGGGATTTCATCAATCCCTATTATTGTGTGCATATCCCACCGAGGACAACTTTTCGAGTCGGCAACTTGCGCAATCTCGTTTTACGTGGCCGTATCCATCATCACTCATCCTAGTCAGCACAATTGCATCCCAACGCATGTTTGACCTACATGGCTTTGCGTGTCTCGCTGCCTCATGCTGTCGCCAGTGCCGGCGCTGCCTTGCATGTTGCTCGGCTTGGACCCCCCAAGGCCAGACTGCTTCGACATGTTCTCGGAAGCCTTGGAAGTGGTGAAATCCTCCGGGTCGTCCTTCATGATGGCATGGCCTCCTTGGAGCATATGATCGTGAGATGCGGCGTCTCGAGCAGCGTTTGTCGCGGGCGCAGCTTTCTTCATCGTGAACAATATGTTTATGTAGATTATGGAAGCTGCTGGGTGTCAATTGGGCTTTTGGATCAAGAGCATGGATATGATGATATAATTGAAGGATGGGGAATTTTGAAGAAACGGCTTCTGTGCCGCTTTTATACGGAATGGCCGGTTTAGCTTTGCGCATGACAGCACAGTGACGATTGATGGCATAAAAAGCAGTGTCGAGCTGAGGGAAAAGAGCTGGCTGGACTTTGTTATAGGGTTTGGCTGCGGTTCTTTTGGTTGGGGCGGGATGAAGTCATCTTTACAAAGCGTGCCTCGGCATTGGTTAATTGGACAATGGTCAACATTGGAGATGAAAGAAGGGGATATAAGCATAGATTTGCAAGTACTTAGTTGATGGGCACGTCGTCAAGGTGATTCAGCTGGGATGATCGTTATAGACATCAATATTCACTAGGACGGTGCAGGCAATTCAACTCCCGCTCCTCTCTTGCATCATCTCCCATCGTTGCTACTGAGAAACAAACAAAGCAGACAGCACTTGGCTAAGCAAACGTCTTGCCAGTCTTCCTTCCTCCTTGCACAATGGCAAACTCTAGAGGACTGATACAATGTCGGCTCAATTCGGTGCAGAGAGAAAACAAATCTCTCCTCCATCATCATCAGCGAAAATATTTGATCACCAGTCTTTTCCACAGCCATATATTACTACCATAACACGTTTCAAATAAGCAACACGAGACGCCAATCTTTTGAAAAATTACAAATTAAAAATAAAAGAAAAAAAGAAAGATAAAATGGACGACGAGCACCACGATTCAGACCAGCCAGGCGAGTCCTACTTTTCAGCCCAGTCAGACAACTCTGGCGACGTGCCGGGCCGCTCCTCGGAGGATCCTGACCAGCGATTGCATTCTGAGGCACCACAACCCAGTTCGGAGTATTCACATGTACCGCTCGACCCAGCCATCGCATTAGGGCTAAGTGGGAGGGTTATATCCGTCACTTTTACCGTTCCCTTTGTCCTACGAGGCCCGGGAGACCATTGCGAACGATGGGTGAGCATCTTTGGTTTGCCTTCTTCTTGAGAATCTGTCAGGTAACCCGAGTAGGAAGTGAGTCCTCGTAGTCGGATTGAGCATTCCGTGCAGTACGATATCCTGAGTCACCTTACTTCGGCCAAGGGCGCCCAGGCACACATTACCATCGGCTGGACGGGAGAAATCTCAGGTTCTGATCCAACTCATAGCGACCATCACGGTGACCCTAACCCCTGGCTAAGTAACGACCCAGATGCCTCGGCGAAACCGACACACAACGCCTTCGTTCGCTGCTTCAACGAGCAGCTACTAGAAGAAGTGCTAAACTGGGAGCCAATGACAACAGCATCAATCTGGATGGCGGGTTCATGGGATCCAATCTGTATCGGAATCAACTTGGAAGACCAGGCCAGATAGCGACGGTTTGTTGATGGCTTCCTCTTCCCGCTGTTCTGCGGGGGCAGTTGCACTGAAGCAACGATTACTCAGGGAGAAGGCGGATGGCCGGATTACCTCGTCCTGATGGACGCCTTTGCCGCCAAAGTATGCGAATACTACCGGCCTGGAGATATAGTCATGGTCCACGACTATGCTCTTATGGCGCTTCCTCAAATCCTCCGAAACCGTTTGCCAAACATCCATCTCACCTTTTCCTTACACGCCGGCTGCCCCAGTTCTATACCTCCCGGCACAAATGTTGAGGTACTCTCCCAAGTGCTCCAAGGCGCTCTCGGCTCGGATCTCATAACCTTCCAGTCATCCATACACCATGATCAATTTCTAGGCTGGTGTGCGCAAGAGGCCTTTGAATGGGCACCGTATGTGGATTCTCTGGTAGCAGAGGTAGCAAAAGCATGTTTCGTGCATCCAATGGCCATTGACACATCTCGAGTCATATCAACAGCAGAGAGCGAAGACGTCTCCCAAATCTATGACTCTCTGAAGAGCTCATTCGCAGACAAGAAGATTATCGTTTCATACAATACAGTTGGCTACCACGAAGAGACAGCTCATGTGGCGCGAGCTTTTGATCGACTCGAGACGCAGTTCCCCGAGTGGAAAGGGAAGGTAGTCTTTTTGCAGATTACAAGCTTGCCATGCTGGTACAAAGAAGAAGAGGCTTCTGGGCCCCATGAGACGCTCGTCGACGCCTTGGCTGCCCGAAACAACAACTCTGAGCCTCGCAAGTGGTCATTCAAAGGCCGGCTTTCAGAGGAGGAGCACTATGCTCTGCTACGGGCCAGTGACACGACCATCTTCCCCTTTGCGCCTGAGGGCCTGATGAAGGCAGGGCTGGACTTTCTGCTTTGCCATCAAGGAAGCAATAAACGACCCGTCATATCAGATGCCAGCCCATTGAGATTCCAGCAGCAAAGAGTGATTTTGTTCCCCCGAGGAGATGTCGACGGCATTGCAAGGGCACTGAACAAAGCTTTGGAAGACGCCTCGGAGCGCTCTGAAGGGTTTGAAGACCCCGAAGGCTCTGAAGTCGCTGAGGTCGCTGAGGTCTCTGAAGTCGCTGAAGGCCATGAAGGCTATGAAGTCGTTGAAGTCGCTGAAGGCTACGAAGGCTCTGAATGTTCTGAAAACTCTGAAGGCTCTGAAAGCTTCGAAACCCCTGAAAGTCCTGGAAGTCCTGGAAGCTCTGAAAATCCCGAAAGACCTGAAAGTCCTGACCAGACGCCGACAATACCACCCGAGCAGTTGGAGCCTTTGACGCTACCAACTGCAGAGGAGTGGGTGGACAGTGTAATGGATGCACTTATAGGCAGACTACTACAGTATCGCATCGTAAATCCTGTTCCTTAGGATCCAACTGAGCGTGGCGAAACTCGTCCCGATGGAGGTGATGGTGATGAAAGGGATGATTGGACGGCCAATATGGATGATTGGAGCGATGAAGTTGCTGGCAGCGATCTCAATGATGGGGGCGAGGGTTGGTCTGCTGCCAGTGGCCATGGCGACGGAGAAGATTTAGGTTCCACGAGCAGGACAACGCCGGAGCCTGATGACGGCAATTGAGAGGACGACGAAGAGAATGATGAAGAGAGCGATGATGGTCTCATGGATGTCCCTTCTAGGGCTCAATCTGAACCTGTTGAAAGTACAAGGCAAATACTGAGCGGGCACAGGCACATGGCACCACGATCCAGCCTTGGCTAAGTTGGAGATGCATTCTCGATATGGGTTGTATATAAAAGCGTATATCAGCGTTGCTTTGGGAGATGCTGGAGACGGACCAGAAATCAGTTTAAACTCAAAGTTGACAACTAGTTAGATAGCATGCATAAATAAGCACTGCAACCGTCACTACTTGATTTCCTTTCTAAATGCCCGTTCCCATGCCGTGCCCATGTCGTTGTGGTCGCTGTGTAGGGTAGCATCGAGGCGTCCGAAGCCCGCAGAACCCGTGCAGCTCAAGTCACAAGATCTCTCAAGCACACGGGGCTAACAAAAAAACAAGCCTTTTTGTATCTAAAACCACGTATCAGCCGACAGCCTTTTGACCACGATGGATCAGCACTCTGCCCCCCTCGTAAAAAGGAAGACGATAACAAAGGACAAGTACATGAAATGCTCCCTGGTCTCGTGGGGGGCGGGATCGGCTGTGTGGATTGGCGGGAGGAGGCGAAGAGAAGGATTTCTGGCCAGGTGAGCTTTTGGTTTTTGGGTTTGGGTTTTGTGCTGCTGCTTTTGAGCGGGCGTTTTTTTCTTTCTCTTTGTTTGAGGGGATGGATGACGTTGATGCCTGGAATGGGCGTCTTTTTGTTTTAGGAATGTCTGGGGTTGGTCTTTTGTTTGGATGAGTGGATGGTGTGTTTTGAGGCTTATATATCTACCTTGCCCAGTAGGCCGGTATATATGTAGAGCTTGGGTTGATGGGCGTGGTTTCTTGCTCTTACGCATCGGCATTTAGACCTCTCATTGAGGTATCTTTTCCATATCATGGAGCCTACATATAACCACCCGTTCATCGCTGCTTGGACGTCCACGCCGATCCCGGACCTCTCTCTCTCTGCGGGCGGTCTCCTTGCGCTCGCGGACCTCAACACTATCGCCCAGCGCACGGCGATTGCTGGCGGAGCGTCGTGGCTGGATGCTTTTGTGCTCGCGCCGGGTTTGCACTACCAACAGGCGGCGGACTTGCTGACGCCTGAATATGGATCCGGAAAACTGGTGCTGTCGACGCTGGACGGCGGGGCGAGGCGGTTTGTCGTGAGCAATGTTGCCATGGTGAAGTACCTGCGGAGGCTGTGGGAGAGGGAGGGCAAGTACGGGGTCGTGACGCTGTATGTCAGGGCGGAGAATGGCGTGGGCGGCATGTCGTTTTCGTCGTCGTTGTCGCTGTTGCTGGGGAGGGATGATTCGCGGAGGAGGAGCCAGAGGCGGTGGCAGAGGGATTTGAGGAGGCAGCTTGAGAGGGAGCACAAGAGCGCCGTGAGGGAGGTTCTCGAGATGGACTGGGTGAGCCACGCGCTGTATCTGCTGAGTCCGCTGCTGACGGTGACGGCGATTGTGTTTATGGTGTTGCTGCAGGACTGGTGGGGGTTGGGGTTCTTGATTGCGCTCATGGTGTCGAGGCTGGCGAATATCTGGGCTATCAAGGAGCGGGCGAGGCCGGGGGGTTCGCCGCCGCCGCCGCTGCCGCCTCCCTCGGACGACGACGACGAGAAGCCCAAATCATCACCACCACCCCCTGCTGCTCCTTCGCCTCCTCCTCCTCCTGCGGCACGGGGGACGCCTGTGGGAGAGTCGAAGCAGTCGCTGGCGCTGCCGCTCACGTTTAAGCGACAAGATTCAAGCATGACGCAGTACACCATCGACTGGGGCGACAACCGGCGCGTCATCCTCAAGGGCGAGGACGCCGACCTGCGGGCCGTCACGACCGAGGCCTGGCTGCGGGCCAAGACGACGCTCGAGGGCTACCTCGAGGCCATGTCCAAGCTCATCGTCTACATGGTGGCCTCCTTGAGCGGCAACCTCTCCCAGGCGGGCGCCGTGGTGCTCATGGCGCTGCTGCTCGTCAGCGCGGGGCTTTTAGGCTTGAGCAACGCCCACGCGACGAGCATGCAGATGCACGGCCGGCGCGTCGGGCGGTTGAAGGTGGAAAAGGTCAGGATTGCGCCGCTGGACCCGGGCATGGCGGTGTCTGGGCAGGTAGAGGCCATGTCGGACGGGATTCCTGTGCATATTGTGCCGGTGGTTGGTGACTGAGGAGCATTATTTTCGTTTTCTGGGTTCTTTGGAAAGCCGGCGCAAGATATACACGAGAGATACCAAGGGGGATTTGTTTTTGTTTTCTGTTCTGCGATGTATATCAGGCTTCTCGTTCTTCATAAACACGTTGTATCAAGACGAACCAATAGAGAATGCTCTCCGTAAAAAAAAACATGACACATAAAAAGGCATCGAGAAGAAAACATAAACCGTCATGAATAGAAAGAAATTGAGGCATTCTCATCTCATCTAAAAGCTAACTCGTATATCAATATCAGGGGGGAGCACAACCAAAAAGACCCAAGAAATCCAAACGCCGCCATATACAAGTAGTACATCTCCCTATGTGCAAAAGAGGTTCGAATCCAATGCTGAGCCGCCAAGACGACCTACGCGTTGGCTGGCGGGTCTTCCTTCTCCTCTTCCTTCTCTTCAGCGGCAGCAGAAGGCTCTGTTTTCACTGGAGGTGTCGATTCCTCCACAGGCTGTTCCTCTGGCGCGGGTACAGGTAGAGATTCAGACTCGGGCTCTGCCTCGGGTTTGGGCTCGGGTTCGGCCACAGGCGCGGATTCTGCAACGGGCTCGGGTTCTGCAACAGGCTCGGACTCTGCTACAGGCTCGGATTCTGCCACAGGTTCAGGCTCTACCACGGGCTCAGGCTCCATCACAGAATCAGGCTCTGCCACAGGCTCGGACTCTGGTTCAGCTTTGGGTTCCGGCTCCAACTCTTGTTCCAGCTTTGATTCCGGCTCTGGCTGCTGCTCTGGCTCTGGAGCAGGTTCGGGTGCCTCTTCGGTGACGGGTGGTGCATCTTCAGGGGCGGGCTCTGGAACTTCAAGCAGTGTCGGCTGGACAGGGCTCTCGGGTTTGACCTCGGCGGCGGGTGTGGTGTTGGGCATGGCTTCTTCCAACAGCTGCGCTGCGGCCGCCTGACGATCCAGCTCTCCCATCAAGCCACCGAGCAGATCCGACTCATTCTCCTGGGTCATGTGGGTGTCACCCTCGACCTCGGGAGCTGTCGGCTCTGGTTCGGTGGGTTCTGCCACAGTATTAGCAGGGGCAGTTTCTTCCTTTGCGTCATCTATTGACACATTTCCAACCTCTGAAGGTGCCTCCGATTCAGGTAAAGGTGCCGTTACTGAGACCGAGTCCTCCGGCTTGATGGTATCTTCCGTCATGGTAGACAGTGTATGCAACAGTACCGGTTTTTGGATGTTGATGTCTGGCTGGCTGCTCGTTTGTCCCTTGGGCGTTCCCTCAGAGATTCGGGAGGTTTCATCCTCGGCCTTTGGGCTGGAGATGTTGCCCACTTGGTCCGGGGGAGGCAGATCTTCAGCCTGTGGCACGTCACGATTAAGAGCTTCCTGAGGAGCTTCCCCGACGATCGTGGAAGGGGGCTCAGCGATGGTGGAGTTCGCCGTGTTATCAGCAATCGCATCCAACATAGGCTGAATCGTTTCTGCTGCGGGCTCGGCAACGACCGATGGCTCAGATGGCGACGGCACAATGACGGGATTCCTGGGCGGTGTGTCTTCCTGTTTGAGTGGCACAGAAGCTGGACGATCCGATGGCTCTTCGAGCGCCGGGATGCTTGTTGGCGGAGGAGGCGAGGGCTCCTTGGGTGCAGGTTCAGACGGTGCCGGCTGCTCATCCTTCATTTCGATGTCGGAGCGATCAATTATATGGGAAGCATCGACCATTTCCTCGTCTTGATCTCTGGGGATGTCAAGGATAGATTCATCTTGCAGCTCAGTCTCGTCGCCTTCGCCTTCATCTCCCTCCTCACCCTCATCACCATCGTCACCTTCTTCTTCTTCATCGTCATCGTCGCCGTCAACATCGCCCATCTCGCTGTCTGGGTTCGGCGCTTCGCTCTCGTTCGGCGCGGGTGTCTATTTGTACATGAATTAGCTTCATCATTAAATGGTAATTGTCTCACAGCTACTTACGAGCAAGTCTTTGGCCTCCGTCTTGACCGTTGTTGCGGCTCCAGCTCCAGCTCCCGCTCCCGCTCCAGCGACGGGAGCAGCTCCAGCAGTCTGCTGTTCTGTTGAAAGCGGCTGCTTGATCTTCTTCTTGCCTCTTCCAGGTCCTGCCTTTGCTTTTCTCTTGGGCGGCGGTGGTCGTCTCCTGGCTGCCGATGCTGGTGGGGCTGCAAAGGCATGTTGCTGTGGCGCGGCGATGGCCTCCACTCTGGTCGCAATGACTTCGCCTTCCACACGCTGGCCCTCTGACAGTGTGACTTCTTCCGTGTAAGGATTTCCGGCTGCGTCCATCCGCCTGACCGTGGCCCGCGTCACCGTAGGTCCCTGGACCTTCTCCTCCACGGTCCGACTCGCGATGGTGACGATGTTCTTCCTCCGCTTCGCAAGGTGCGAGATGCCCGGCGCCTCAACGTTCTTGGGGAGCTGCTTCCAGATCCTTATCTGATAGCCCTGAGCGCTCGTGTCATCTTCCTTCTTGTCCTGCTTCTCCTGCATGGTTGGTTCGCCATCTGCCTCGTCGTCTTCACTGGGATGCGGTCGTTTGTAGAGGCGACCGGAACGCGCAGCGCGCAGCAGCTCCTGCGTGTGGGGAGGCAGCAGAGTCGCGTCCTTGGGCATGCCGTGAATGAGTTCGATGGCCCAGATGTCATTCTGCTGCTGCTGCTCCTGCTGGACCGGAGGCGCGACATTGACCCATTCGTGGCGCCATTGTCGGACGGGGAGACCTGCGTCAATCAGCTCAGCGGGTGTCGCGTGTTAATGGGATGCGCAACGGCGGCGAACCTTCGAAATCGTCGTGCTCAACGTAGCCACTGCGATTTGCGCGTCGAGTCTGGAGCAATACGGTCAGCTTACGGCGCCGCGAGGCAATGGGACACGAGAACAGCGTACTCCTGGGGCCATTGCGCCTGGGTGAATTGCGGCAGCGGAGGCCTTTGTCCGTTACGGCGCAACACTGGAATCGGCGCTGGTCAATGGGCGTTGAGCAAGGCGAGGAGAATTCGGCGATGCTCAGAGTAGAGTAATGCTGCAACGGCTGGATTGACCGACCGTGTTAGTGATGGAATCAACTGATGGTGAACACGCTCCAAAGTGTTTGGCGAAAACGATTGTGACTATGGGCGTATCAGCCAATTGGAGGGAAGAATCAGGGGATGACATAAGCACGCATGCTGCAGTAAGAACTTGAAGGATCCAAGGCAGACCAGCCTAGGTACCTACCAAGGTATTTTAGTGTCTGCGCAGACGTACATGAGGGTGCACATTCATGATAGCATTGGACATATTGTAGATGCGGTATCGTGATGAAGGTGTAATGGTGTTATGAGAGGCTATCAGGATATGCTTAATTGAGCCACTTGTGAACCTTGTAAGCTTTTACAAGTGGCGTGAACTTTGCATTTTGTACTTTGCGATAGCCGCCACCTTATTTCACACAGCGCCTCACATGGAGCGCTGCATCCGGCGTGCAAGATGAGATACTGCAGCACATTCCTATGCCCTCAATTGGTGGCCTGCAGCACTGAATCTGAGCATCGAGGTTATACAGACAAGCTACAGCCCCCCCCAGGATGAGCCCAGCTTGGGGGCTCGCGAGTTATCGCAATCGGTGTTGAGATTGTGTAGTCTAAAGTTTGTCCCGTAACGATCCCGCAATACTCCCAAGCCGAGCCGAAAAGCCGGTCTCTCGATGTTCCTGTGATATATGTATGATGTACAAGCCCCATTGCCACCCTACTGTACAGCCATCAATCGGATTCCTCCGTGTTTATCATTGTCGTTTTCGTGTGCTTGCATCAACTCAATCGTAGCTGAAGGCGAATGTGTTAGCGCGCTGCTCCTCTCGCTGCTGAAGAGTCCTGAACTCACCCTTGCTCCCTTTGCCGTACTATCTCTCCTGACTTCGTTTCTTTGCCCTGAACCATTTGCATTAGCGATGTGGTCGAACGAGACCAGGCTGCGGTCAAAACCTACCGACTGTCCTCCCTCGACCACTAATCGATCCAGCTTGTAAAACTGTCCGATAACCGTTTGTCGCTGCCATGCGCCGTCAGCATCTTCCGGGCTGGAGGAAGCACAAGCGGGCACTCCCCTAGCATACCTTCATCGTCTGAAGCTCCTTCAGCCCCTTCTGAATCAGCTCCTGGATCTTGCGCTCGTCCTCTACCGCAGCGTTTTCTCGGAAAGCATCCCGGGTCCGTCGTTTCGCATACTCGCGGAAATTGTAAGAGCCGAATTCGTTGCTTTGCCGCAGCAACTGTCGATACTGAAGAGGTCCGCAGAGTTAGCTGAGCTGCATCGCAAGGCCAGAGACTGTGTCCATAGCTGAAAGAGACCCAATATTGCTCTTTTCACGGGTTTCCCCCACTACAACATTTCCGCCCGCTTTGACGCAACAAAGCTGCTCGCGCAATTCGCATCGCAACAAGCCAACGTACCAGTGATCGCGCCTGCTGCGGTAAGTCACCCCGTAAGGTGCGGACTAAAGACATTGTATGCGGGTGACTTGGCGTGTTGTTGCCTCTGGCAAGTCTGGGCATTCAATTCCCATATCCCCAGAACATTGATAATGACGAGCCGGGAATCCTGCGGTTCGGTGTTAGTCGGGCCGGAGAAATCCCTGCTCCGAAAAAGCGCTCCATCCGAGCTTTGCCCGGCAAATCTCTTCCGCATCTCGAGGCTTGGCCGCCGCTTTTTTCAACTGCGAGTCTGGCCTTGTCTCCGAGAAGCCGAGAGGATTCGGGATATTGGAGGCTGTGGCCCGTCTTAGCCAGGGCTTCAAGTTGGCCATGTCCTACGTGGAATGTGCCTGCTAGCGTTAGCTCTGCATGGGCTGCAGCACGTCTTACGCAGACTTGTACGCATGTAATCCAAGGAGAAGCATCCTGATTCTCACAATATAGACAAAATTATCACCCTGCACCTTGAATGAGCGAAAATGCCGGTGAAGCTATAGCCATTTATATTTTAAAACTAAATATGTGCATATATATTTACAACCATGTCCATATTTCGATTTCCATATTTGCATCTACAATATCCCCTCTATCAACTCTGAGATGTATCGAAGTGATATAAGTTGTCGACTTGATTCGTCGCCGTGATAACCAAAAACTTTTTTTTATAACCCCATGCAATCAAGTCCCTTTGGGTATCAGAATACTGACGCACCCACTAAATGCGATCCCCAAGAGCCAAACTCCTGTATCATCTTTATCCCTGACCGAAACAAGACAGCATGCGCTAGAACTGAAATGAAAATAAGGACGTGTAGGAATAGTATGCTCGCCTATCAGAAGATAATATTGAGACATGGCCGGAGCCCCCATGGAGAAAAAACCCTCAACTTTTAATGATCCTCCGATACACTGACCAGTCTGAAGCGTTGGCAATGCTGTCTGTGAAAAAGAGAAACCCCTCCAGTCGTGACACAGCCGAAAGGTCCTCGTTGTAGAATGGTCACTTTTGGTCATGAAGTGGACGGAGAGGCGCCAAATGAAGCCAAAGCTTGTGCAATGGTTTCGTCAGAGAATCCATTGGTATTAAGCATGCGATCAAATCTCGTGCCGTGGCTCAGGTCGCCTTGTAACTGAGCTGTCAGGGTATATTGCCGTTGAGATTGGTTCGGCTTAATGATTGTGGCGGCCTGGCTGTTTTGCTTCTCTGATAGGAGAGGGGCAAAGGCAACATTCGTGACAGATGCGTTGAGGTTTGCTAGTCCTGTGGGATGACTGTTGTCGATGAGATTCCACTTCAGAATCTTACCCTTGACGTGACCTGTGACGATTGAGGTGCCATCATAGCTGACTGCCATGCAAGAGGCAGGCCCGACGTCCTCATCAGCCACCCCCAAGGGGGAGTTGATTTGCATAACTATAGATGCCAGCTCAGCGCTGCGGGATCCCAGAAGCGGCTTGTCGCCATAAAACTCAACGACATAGAGGCTTCGATCTTCGGAAGAGACAAAGAGGGCTCGAGCACAAGGATCCAAGGAGATGCAGAGAGGAGCCGTGGGAAACAGCAGTGTTCGCAACACTTGACCTGTCTGATAGTTCCACAAGATGCAAGTCTTGTCCTTGCTCGCAGATACACACAAATTTGTCTCGGGGTTGGAGCCTGGGCCTAGGACAAGATCGGTGATGGCACCTCGGTGGTTGGACAGTGTCCTGTCTGGCTCATGCCCGATATCCTGCCCAGGCTCAAGGAGGCGCGGCAAGGACCAGACATTGATGTTGGAGTCATCTGAGGCAGAGAGCACATGGTGGGGAGATGCAGCAACACAGCTTACTGCTTGCACATGGCACGGAGGCGTTGTGATTTGCCGCCCGGTACAGGTCTAGACAATGGTAGTCAGCATTTTGTACCATCTCTCTCAGGGAACTCAAGCACCCTGGCAGCTTTCATGGAAACATAAAGGAACATGCAAAGAAAAGCTAAGCATACCTCCCAAAGAATAAGCCGGCCCTCGGCTGTTCCCAGAACGAGAACGTCACCAGCGAGGGCAATACACCGGATCCGTTCCTGGAAGGGCACAAGGGCCTCTTGGTTTCCTCGAGCTCGAGAATAAACATGGACATGGGCTTTCTGATCCTGGGCAGCGTACACGTGGCTATCGCTTAGAGCCAGGCAGTGAACCGGAGCTGAGCTTTTCTTGAAGGATGCCTTGACGGCCCACGTGGGAGTGAGCGTGTGTGCGTAGATGCCAACGTCTTTTGATATCGCCGTGTTGGCAGCGATGGGCGGGCCGCACACCGACGAAAAGAGCTCGTCCGACAGCATAACGGCTATGGTTTGAGATTGGCTAGACGTTGGACAGTGGCGTTTCGAGTGTGTGTCTCCGTAGTGTTGAAGCCACCAGCTTGATATGATATCAATGCCGCCGGGGTTGACAGACAGTTGATCGTCGAGTCGAGACAACAGCCCAGGTTCCGCCAAGGAGATGCTACTTGCCAATGGTTCTCTCGCTAGAATTGGCTGCAGACGTGCGTTGCACTAAAGTGACAAGCGCTTGACAACTCTCCGCTTGGTCTTGCGGACGTCGTATGATCTCTCACGCTCGAATGTTTGAAGCAAGGGAAAAACGCTGGCTAGCCGTTGGAGGAAAAAAAAAAGAATTTCGACGTCCGATGGAGTGCATGATGACCCGCTCTGTGGTGCAGCCAGTACTATAAGCTGTAGCTCCAGGCCTTTTCAGCGCCTCCAAAGCCCACTCGGCCCTCTGAAGCCGGCCGCTAGCGCTCATTCCTTAGTGCAGGTGGCCACGATCTAGCGCTCAATGCAAGCGACTTATCTGATTATGCAGGTATTTTGCAGCTCTCCCTGCATAGCGTCATCTCTCAACTCTCTCCTCAACTTCATCTCCGCCTCCAATCTCTCGCCTGCTGCTGTGGCTGTCAAGTTTAATGTCTCGTCGACCCGTCCAAATGACGGCACTGCAGTTACTGCTGCCGCGGCTCCTCAGGGTGGTGCCCCTGCATGTCGCCGCTCTCAACCGGATGCCAGCTCATCACCTGCGTCCCTTGCGTCGACAAGCCTTGGCCTCGACTGGACTGCCTCTCCCTTGACCCTCTCCCCTGTCCCCTTCTCTGCCGCGATATCTACCTAATCTAACTGCAGGTTGATCTGTGGGGTCTCCGGACTCGCTCAGCTCATTATCCAGAGGCCGGCCATGTGGTGGTGGATGCCTCGAGCCCCCACAGGAACTGCAGCGCCGGAACACACAATGAGATGAAATGGCTTGCATTGCTCCTGGATGCCCTCAAGGATACCGATACCCTGGTGAGTCCTGGTGAGGTGCCGATGGGCCAATGAGCATCACGGCTTCAATAGCCATCTATTGTCCTTGCCAGGCACGGGATACGATGCGCACCCTGTCCTTCTCAGGCCTGGACTCGTGGCTCGACTTGCTTTTTTCTTTCGTTTCTTTTTCTTGTTAGCAGCCAACAACAAGCGCAGGGGTGGCAGCCTCAGCGCCCCATATGGCACGGGACAGAGTTCCGTGCTACTCCCACCCGGCGGGAATTTACCAAAAGCTGTGGCCAGATGACTCTGGCTGCGGAGTCTTGTCCACATCTCTACGCCTTGTTGCTCTGACTTCCATGCTGGCCGTGCGCGAGGATGGATATGACGCAGCTAATTACAAGTACTGCAAAGGTGCTCCGAAAACTCCGCTCCTCACGCCATCCTCTGACGGCCAAAAGAGATGAAAAGGAAAAGAAAAAAAAGCCACTGGCAAGGACCACTACTAGTCGAGTGACTGCATACAATTACATGTGCTATGACTTTGGTTCGGGGGTTGCTTCCGTGGGTTTCGGGTTGCAGTCGCACAAGACTGTCTTATTCTAGCTGTCCGTGGATGGCAGAGTCCTGGCTTCCGCGAAATGACTGTCGCGCTTTAAACGGATCCATGCCGAGCCGAAATTTGCCATCGCCATCTTGGTACGACATGATATACAAGATTCGTGCATATCAAGGAGGGCAGGCATCATTCGTCCTTGGCTCTGGCTAGCTGGGAATACACCGACTATGATGGCCAGGAGGGATGATTGGCTGTGAAGCATTGATCCCTTGCAGAAGGCTATGGGTGAGGGGAAAATGCCATATGAAAGAGGCAACATGGGCCAGCGCTCTCTCGACCTTGACACACACACACGCTTGCCAACATCTATGCCCCTCCTACTGCCTGTCATTGTTTCATGACACTTACAAAAAACGATACAGTCCGAGGCAGACGGCATACAAGTATGCCGAACTCCTGCTCGTGCTTCTCTGGAACGACGCGGCAGTCAGCCATCTGAGGATTCATGGCCAGGTGGCGGCCTGAGCTTTGACCTTGAGAGGTTGGATCTGGCCATGTTCTGGTTTTGCTTTTGCTCTGGTCGCCCTCCCCCTCGGAGTCAATAAATCACGGGCTAGCAGTGCCCTTGCACTAAACGAGAGCTGCATCTTTCTTCTGGCCCGCGCCAACCCCTGGGCATGGTCTTTGCTCGTTTTGGCTGTGCCACTAACTAGGATGCAGCCACCCTTCTCAAAAGTCTCCAGGCTCCGTCCATCCCAATGAGGCTCCCTACAGGAACGCTGCTATTCTAGTTGAGACCCGAGATATCTTGTTCTCGTATGTATGCATGTGCCAGATCGGCTTCTTAGCCGGTCCTGAGTGTATCAGGCACCTCATCTTACGAGCATGGTCTATACGTTTGGAAATAAAGCCATCTCGAGCTGTTATTCTCTAAACGCCGTCATATGACCCTTTTCTCCTTCTTCTCCCCTCCCCTTCTCAAAATTTTCCAGTACGCACGCAACACAACAGACGCCTCACCAACATTTCATCCCTTGTGTTTGACTCTGTCCGTGTCTCGCTCCTTCTTCCACCAGTTCTCCCGTACAACAACCCTACCCTCCTTCAGTGGCCGAGGCATCCTGATAGATATAGCCTGGCTGATTCCTCTATGATACCAGCCTAATACTGCCGGGACAAATATTGTGAACAGAGGCAGCCTAGATGTCGGAGGCGAGCTCACAAATCGCGACTTCGCCAACTGGTTTTCTAGAACAACCTGCCAACAATTCAAAGAGCGCACCGACCAACAAGACCCTGGCCAAAGCCACGCGGAGATCGGTATCAAGTATGAAGGGCCTGCTACCGCTTACCTTGTCGACATCTTCCTGTTCAAGTCTTACAAATCAGATTCCTGAAGAAGCTCTTGAACAGCGTGTAGACGACTATTTCCCCGAAGTTTTGGTTCAAGACCTAGAGTTGTCCAAGATCATCTTCGCAGCTCGAAGTATGACAGCCGGCTCACCAATTTCTTCTTCCCCCTTACCGTTTGACCACTGCACCGACAAGTCAATAGCCACCATGAACCCCTATCGAGCCTCTTCTCTGTCGTCGCCATACCAATCGGGCTATTTGCGCGTTCAAACCCTCGGGGCTATCCAGGAGCGAAATTCAATGGTCTCATTCCTCGATCAGCAGGAAGACGCGAGGTCTGGTGAGGCAGCGTCTGATTCGTGCTCTGCAACCGAAACTGATGCATCGTCTGTATACGATGCAGCTCCCCCCTCCTTTTTCACACGACGCCAGTCCATGGATACAAATGTGTGCTCGCTGGATCCGGCAAGAGGAAAGATAACTTTGCCAAAGTTGTCGTCAATGTCGCCGTCGGAGAGCTCTCGCTGCGAAAGCAGCTGGATTGAAACCGATTCAGATGTAGAGGATGACCGCGAGGAAGATGCTGGCATTTATGGCACCGTGCTTCACCTTTCACCAAGACCGCCAACGCCCCCGGAATTCGAAGCCAGAGTTGACTCTAGGTCCTCAAGCGGCAACATGCATAAACTTCTGCATCGGAAATCACATTCGGTCGCAGACGCTGCTGCTCTCGCGTCACCTCCAGGGCAACACTTGAGCAACTCGACGGCCCCGGCGTGGCGGCCAAGTTCCACACCATACTCGAGGCACTCCCAGACTCAAATGCAGTACCCCGACAGCCCCGAAAGCATTTATCTACCCATGTCCCAATACACTCCTCCCACGCCGCATTCACAGACCATGCCTTACATGCCCGAGAGTGGCCTCGCTCGGCGTACCAGCAACCGATCAATTATAAGATCAGCGAATAATCATCCCATCGAAGCTACAGCGAATAGCGACTGTGCCAGAACAGAATACAATCAATTTGTGTCATCTATTGATTCAAAGTATGCAACAAGGGCGGATAGTGTCTATATCCGCCCCTCACCCCCTCCATCACCTCTTCCCAGCGTGCAGATGTGGCTCAACGGGAGCGCGCAGCTCTTTTCTCTGCCGTTCCAGAGCGATGAGCTGGCTCGGGTGGTGCCTCTACCACCTGACGTTATGGAGACGCTGAGAGTCACCACGGCGTGCTTTCCTGAGACGATGCTCCTCTCTTCTAGCTTGACTATTGAGACGATTCGAGCATACTCCAGGAAAGCTAGGAACCCAGGGACAGAGTTTGCTCCTCTCCCAATTTCACGATGCTCGACCCCTACATCGTCGAAGCAGTCGTTATGGAGAAGGGTGGTAAAACGCGGATCACAACAGTCGAACCAACGGACGCGTGATGTACACACCCCAACTGCAAGATTGCTGCAATCACCCAGCTTAAGCTCACTGGAATCCCCCAAGCCGTGGACATCCATCAAGAATGTATTTGGCAACTGCTCCGATTACATCTGTGATGCGCTCTATTCCCACATTGTCGCGTATAACTACGTTTCCGCCCTCGTTGCGCGGTACCCGACTTCATTTGGCTGTGGGCGCGCATGCTCACCCGTTGGATCACAACATGACGACATCCCCAAGAAGGCAGCTTCTCTCTTGGGCCTCAATGAGGGAGCCAACTCCACTTCAGCTGCATCCATCCGCTCTGCAAGGAGAATCAGCTCCTCGCACTGGGGCAGGGAAGATTTCATGACCACGAGCCCTTTGGCTACTTTGCCTCACCAGGATATGGCGATCCGGAGCATTCAGACTGAGCTGCTGCGGTGCATACGGCGTTTGATAGCGACCGCGAGATTGATGGCTGAAAGCGATAATGCGGATGAGAAGATGGTGGAGATGGACATTGAAGATGCGGACGTGCTGTTTATGCGCAGTCTCTGCGAAATTGTGAGGGTGAATGAAGAAGCAGCTTATCTGTAAATCACGGGTCCAATTTGAGGATGTTTATAAATCAATCTTATTTATGCTACGATTTGAAAGAGAAATGTTATTATATTGATACTGCTTAATGAGTTGCCTTTTCCGTGATTTTGTGTCGTATCAGGCTATCATCACATACTGATGCAGTCTTCATGTGAAAGAATTTAGTAGGATATACGGCGCGAAGAGGATATTTCATCAACAGTCATATATCCTAAGCTATGCTATGAACTAGACCAAGAATCAAAGGGTATCATTCAATCCCATGTGGGTGCTAAAATTGCCAAGAGTATCATGTTATCCCAAACTCTGCGGAATAGCAATCTCGACCGTGCTGCCGTCATACATCTTCAGGACCGCCGTGTTTCTAATGGCCCTTTTCCATCCCCAAACAGCGTCTCATGCCACGGTTTGCTTCCCTTTTGGCAGACGCCGTCCCAATCTATAGGCACGAGTCTAGCTGGGTGCTCCTCCTTTGCTAATTCAAATACCGTTACTTGCTTGTTCTGGTGTTGCACCTTTGGTGGCCAGTAGACCAAGTTTGTGCCTCCATCTTGCTGCGAAGACATGTTTAGAAGCGGTCTTGGGTCGTCATTGTCTTGGGGTGGTTGTAGATGCGCAGAAACGAGCTCTCGCAATCGGGGATAGAACCACATCATGGACCACCAGTTGTTCAACCTCCAAGACTTGAGGCCGTTGATGTACGCGTTGTGGTGGATTCCCACGGGGGCGACGCCAAAGAAGAAGTCGGTGTAGAGAGGAACTTGGCCCCATGAGACTTTGGAAAGGGGGCTTCCATCGAGATTTTCCGGTTTCAATTCCTTTGGGGCGCCGCTTATACGAGCACCGTTGGGTACACCAGCTTTCAGAGATTGCTCCTTCACAGCCTTCTCGTCGTCGAGTTTGACAAAGTAACCATCTTCTTCTGCAGAACACGTGGCTGGGATAGTCGTGAAATTGTAATCAAGTCCAATCCCAAACTCAAACTGCTCGCCCACGAGGGCCTTTGTCGCAATGTCGCGGACTTCGGGGCTGAGGGTCGACAAGTCGTACTTTGAGCCGCTGCCGTCCCACGAGCTGCCCAATTCTCGCATCCACTCGCGCCACATCTCCTGGTCGCCAATGACTTCGCCAAGCAAGGCCTGGTCGCTCCATAGCTGGCGGCCGCTGCGGGCGACGGTCTCGATTTTGCGCTTGCAGCGCCTGAGGACTTGGCGGAGGGAGCGCATGGTGCCCATGATCATGCCGCTGTTGATGCAACGGGGCCGGATCTTTTTGTATTTGCGGGCTGGGTCGAAGAGAAGAGGCAGGACTTGGTCGGTGCCCTCTCCATATAGATCTCTTGGCATGGGAGACTGCGGCCAGTGGTCGTAATGAGGGTCGGAGCCGGATTCGCTGTCTGGCTGGCAGTCCTTGGCAGTGGTGACGATGATGGATTGTTTCGGGGGCGATACTGGAAAGGCAGAAGCTGAGTCTTGTTGTGCTGCTCGCCACTGTTTGCGCAGTCGCTCGTTGGCCTCGTTGTTGAGCTGATGGTATCGCTGGATGAGCACCGAGGGGGGCAGCTGGAACCATATATCATAGGCATCAACAAGAACGGCCAGGTCGTCGTCGTCGGCGCCCCCATCAACTTCTGCTCCGCCTAGCATTTGCTCAATCGCGGCGAGCAGGCTCTCGAGTTTTGCGATGTGGCTTCCTGCAAAGTGCCACTCCGGGCGGTTGAACTCGCCGTCCCAGTTGAGCAAGGTAGGCAGAGGATAGCCCAGAGCGACTGCGGACATGATGCTTTTACACAGGTTGATGTGAGGCGAGTCAGCGGGCATGAAGATGCGCAGTTGAAGGTCGCCGCCTGCATGTTTTGGGGCGACGGAGTTGAAGGCTTCTAGGGCTTCTCGCGGCAGGACACCTGAAGACGGTGGTCTATTCGATGAAGGAGTGCCATATTGAAGCTGTGCAGAAGCAGACTGTATGTCGATCAGATTGAATTCGAAGAGCAAAGAAGGGCAAGCGAATAATTACCAGAGCGGAATAGAAGAGGCTGATGGTGAGAACCACCAGGCCCAACACCTGCAATAGCGCCCCTTGACATACTAACAGCGAACATCGCCGCAATGCGGTGCTTTTGGTAGATGCAGCTTGATGATGCTCATGACGCTCGTGACTTGGTAGAGCGCGATACTCTCTATTGGATGCGGATCGGCTAAACACACTGGAAAAGATTCGAGAGGACGCGCGTCTCATCTTTCGTTTACACCGATAAGATGCTTGGCACTTTGGACGATTGTTGAGAGCTTTTAGAGAGCACCGCAACTTACGATATTTTCTCTTGGGCCGCAGTACTGCTAGTATATAGAAAGAGAGGAAGAATAGTTACCGAATTAGAACAACAGTCATTGTAGAACATGCGTCTACTGGAGTATTGATTTGTCGCCCATCACCATTTGCGAGTTTCAACGTCTGTTACAGATTACAGCTTACATGCAACTTACAGAACGTGGGTCGTTGCGGCAACAGTTAGCCGAATCAAGCAGTGATTGGCTGTCCATTAAGGGGATTTAACGGAGATGCGGATAAATAGACTTGAGCTTGCGCGTCGCCATGACTTGGCATTTGATTACCTAGTTGAAAGTCGATTCGAGGCACTCTGTATATAAGCTGGGCTGGGGTCTTGGTCGTGCTATCGTCGTTCGTCTCTACGGCTTTGAGTCAGGCGGATCCGGGACTGTTTTGGCGCTACCGCACGTGGGCGAGGATCATCTTCTAAGGGGCCGAGTTTGCACACCATCAACGTCATCCCATCTTCTGGGCGTTGGCCGTTTCTCTGCTTGTGGGTGTGAGATTGAATGTGCCTCATACAAAGGTTAAAGGTTAAAAAGTTCTGAAAAGGTTGAGGACGTTTCATCGCAGCTTGGTCACCTGGGTGATAACTGCCAGGGCTGGCGGCCTGTTGAGTGCCGATAAGAGAAGAGCGCGGCTCAAAACTTATGATACCCATGTGATCTACCTCTATTGACGAGAGGCGCAGACTTGAAGATTCAACGCAGACTCGCAGAGTCGAGCGAGGAGGACGAGTTTTACACTGAGTAGTGAGGCTACTTGAGCTAGTTGTAGCTCTAACATCGACGCCGGATTACAATGCTGATTCCCACCTTGCATCTCCGTCATGTCGGTAGTGAAGCTTCCTGTTCGCGGATCTGGGTCCGTATTTACTGCCGGATGGGACTTGCGGACATTTACTGCTTTTGGAATTGTTGGTGAGTACACGTATTGTGCTGTCTGGTGGACGCACCGTCGCTTGAGCCATCACCAACCGTATGCGGAGCTAACATCAGCTACTCCAGGCTTTGCGAATACGCTTCTTCCGTACATCATCTTTTCTAGCCTTTATCTCATTGTGCCCTTTTCGTTGCCTGTTGTGTTACTCATAGAGTTGCTTCCTGCTATTGCGGTCAAGCTCCTCGTTCCGCATATCTTGCATTACACACCACACTGGGTTTGGCTGGCCTTGCTTTCGGGTTGCTGGATCTTGGCCACAGTCACTGCCAATGCCGCACCTCCAAACGTTATTGCCCCTATCCGCATTCTGATTGCTGTGCTTGCTTCGGCGAATACTGCAGTTGCTGAGGTTTTCTTCTTGAGCCAGCTGTCTCATTACGGCAAGACCGCTCTGGCGGGATGGGGGACTGGATCCGCAGCTGGCGGTGCATTGCGCGCCGTCCTTCCAACAATATTAACGATACGCATGGGTCTTATGATGCGTAATGCTACAAGCTATGTCTACTATTTGCTGGTGGCCATGGTAGCTGCTTATTTCCTGGTGCTGCCTTCTCCTGTGCTGCGCACTATGGCAGTTAATGAACTGGCCGGGGAAGATGAAGCTGCAGTTGAGATGGAAAGCCATAAATCCACCCTGATCACTGCAGAAAGTCACTCGCAAACGATTAGTTTCCGGGAACGCATCCATCGTAACATGCAGCTGATGAGCAGCAAGCTGCTTCGGCTGTGTATAGACCCTCTTCTTCTTGTTACTGCAGCACAGGGCCTCGTGTCCTCAGGAACACCCCGTGCCAGTCGCGCACTGCGAAGCTTCTCAGGGTATCAGTCGTTTTCAGCCACATATGGTCTTGCATTCCAGATTGGAGATTTGATTGCTCGCTCAACCGCCCTTTTGTTTCGCACCAGGAGACCGAGACTTCTCTTCGCTTTGTTGGTGGTTTGCTGTCTCGCTGCCATCCTCAACACATCACTTATGCTGAGCGCAAACATATACTTTGTACTTGGCCTTATATCTTGCATTGGCTGGCTGAGAGGAATGATGTATATGAACATATATGGCGCCGCAATGGAGTATCTGAGTAGGAATCCAGACGCCAATGCGGAATTTGCCCTTGGGAGCATTGGAGTGGGAGAGACAGCGGGAATGCTGATCGGATCACTTACTGCTGTCACGTTTGAATCACAACTTTGCGGATTAGCTAGTCGAAGCGGACGGTGGTGTTCCACTATCACATAGATTGATCGATAAGATAGATATCTTTCGTGTGCAAGACCGATTGAATCAGTGAAGCCCATTAGTTTCCGATAGACACCATGTCGATGTCTTTCAATGACAAGACCAAGTTGATGGCTCATCACAAACCACACCCCTTATATAAATGTCTCATTATAGCATGTATATGTGAGTTCTGGATTCAAAGGCTTCTCATTCTAAACTCAGAAGCAACCGGCAGGCTCACTGGCTATTGGATAAACACAGAGATCAGGGACAGCCTTCGAAATCTCTTGCAAATTACTCTTTGATCGGGCAATAAGGTTTCCTGAAAGTCTCTAATTCTATCTATTTATATGATTGTAGCAAGCTCTCACTTGATGCTATCAAAAATGCTACTGAGGCTGAGATTTGGGAGCTTCAGTGGATTGAGGAAAAGTCTTATAAGCCACACATTATCCTAAGGGCCATGTCTACTTTTGCAGTTTGGAAAAGAGGAAAATTCCGGTCATATCTAGATCATCTTCATGTTGAATAAAGAGGTTTATTGTAATGTAACAGCTATATATCCAAAATATCCGCTGCATACGCAAAATGAACTCATCTGCGTGTGTCACACATATATTCAACTTAGAATATGTGGTATGACTTCATATACAATTCTTATATGGGCCGGAACAAGATATTCTATTGTCAGTACATTGTATATAATGCCATCCAAAGCATTGGATGGCGAAGCTGTCATCTACAAACAATATGTGCCATAATTACTTCTCCCAGCCAATTGTTCCCCCAAATATACGTCCACCGATGTATATGTCGACGCAATTGAGTACTGAAGATAATGTGCTTCCGTTGACTCGACATGTCAAATACCAACAGGGGTGAAGATCTCATATCTATCCCCGGATACTTTCGTCCCGGATGACAACATATTGCGCTAAAATTGGCTATGCACACCCCATCATTTACATGCTTCAAGAAGGGTCGAACCAAGAATGCCATTATATACCCTCCTGTTTATTTGTAGGAATCAGTTCGGATTTTACTCTAGCTTCTCCCACATCAGATGAAACCCTGCGCTGACGGGTGCCCCTTTGTCTGGATCCCAGCACGTAAGATCACGCACCCTCTTCAATAAACCCCAGATGCCGGGGGCATTGACTGCATACAGATATGATTACGACTACCAAACTTTTTGTTAAATGGGTGGGTAAGAAAATCCAGGGTAGTTCAACGGTTTATATTGCGCAGCTTTGCTCCGATCGGGACCTGATTTAATCTGATAGATGTCCGTAATATCTTGTCTTTATGACGATATGTAAGAGCTACCTTGGTAATTCCACGTCAGTTCAGCCTTAGAGTAAGACTTGAGAAGTATGGCACCGAAATATCTTGTATTGCCGCCAATTGTAGCTCTTTCAGGCGTAGGTATAACATTGCATACACGAGAAATACGCCATCTTGGCATGTTATTTGTTGACTACTATACGGCCCTTCCAACATTTCCCATGTATAGCTACTTTACCTTGAGACTAAATCTGGCCACCGAGAAGCTGGTATGAAAATGACAAGTAAAACGACATCACCCCTTTGACATTACACTCCATAATCCTTTAGATGCCGCTAAGCAATCCGGGGGACGGCGGCAACAAATGACAAATCATAAATGCATCTTCAGAAGAGTGACTCACATAATAGCGTAAGATTCACATGCTTGAGAACTGAGCATGGCAATGCAAAAAAAAAGTGAATGCCGGGCATGATTTTCGCTACTACAGACATGTTCATTGCTATATCCATCGTGACTCATGGTTGGGGGCTCGAACATGTTTCTTGGCTCCCTTCAGCCAAGTATGCCATTGGACACTGGTCCTACAAAATGAGCGCTATGAGACTATATCACTCCAAACTGTGAAGACGATTTAAAGACCCTTGGTCAGAGGATTCAAAGAACGCTGCGGAATTTTCTTCGATGTTATTCATAGTCCGACTAGGGCCCTGCCACATCGACGAGCTAGTTTTAGCTGCTAAATAAAGAGCAGAGCAGAGCAGATGCAAGTGATCAATAAGAAATTGCGTAATGGAGGTTCAGTGAGAAAAATGCAGAAAAAACAAAAAGAACGGGTCTGCACGGGTAGCCTAAAGAAGATAGAGCAGGGTTTGCGGTCTGCATGGGTTCGTGGAGTAGTGTAGGACTTCTTCGGAGGTTAGCGACGTGTACCTGGATCTGAAGCTTTTACATTTCCACGCTGCCGTGTAAGTTCGGTATGAAGTGTTCGCATCTTTGCGCTCAAATGAGGAACTGGTCAGCAACGCTGGTGTCTGTGGCAGTATACACGCGGGTTTCTGGTCAAGCGCCCGGTCAACCAGGCATGAAACTTGTTTTTTCAGACTGTTGATCGTGTCCACGTCTGGCTGGTGAAGGATTGCCAGGTTCAAACGCCTCATTGGGCCAGAAATATTCCGATATGAGTCCCGTTACACTGCATTGAGGGTTGACCAAAGCCAGTTGTGCCTGCGTTAAATGTCGGTTGGCTGGTGTCGAGGCTCTCATTTTGCAAAACAAGGAAAAGCTTGTAAAAGGATTATGGCTTCTTTGTCGCAGATCATTGCGGGGTACTATCACCACCAAGATGGGTCGGACAAAATTGAATACCGAACGTGACAGGTACCAACGGGATAATTAGCCCGAAGGCAGGCTAAAGGAGAAGAAGGTTCCTTTCCCTCATTAGTACCTGGAGAAAAAAGTCATACGAGTTTGCACATTCCTGCCGCAGCCAGCGCCGCCACTCTGCAGGCTTGGCAGCTTCAGCTACTAATGTATGCGATTGGCTTCTACGCCGCTACACGCCTGGGCTAATGCGCTTCTCGGCAGCCCCGACGATGTGATGCAATTGAGTACTACTGCTAAGAGTTAAAAACTGCTGCGGTGAGCAGTAGCCACCAGAGTTGCAGAGCGCGCAAGGCCCATCATCTTCCAATGCAGACTAGGTCAGTTGCACTTTTTGCGGCTGAATTTAATGGCACTTCTGGGGAATCCTCTCTACCCTCTCAATGGACCATTTCACTTCCCTTTAGATGCCAAGCTGGTCATTCCTTCCTTGCATTGACTTCTAGCCTTGAAGGAGTACTAAGGTTCTTGCGAGCATCCAGCTACGGCGGATTTGTCAGTCAGGCTATCTTCCTCATCACAAGTATCTCGCCTTCTTAATGAGACGATGCAAGAATTCGGCAGTCACATAGTACCTTGCTATGGCTAGACACCATCCTTCTTAACTTCGGTATGGGGTTCTCTTTTTCTGACTGCCTCGTTAGCTCTGTTCTCTCACTGCCAACCTGTCTGCTATATCCACCTATCACCGACAACTCACCCTCGCCGGGGGCATACTCGTAGACTATGTACATGATACACCGTAAGTCAAATATTTAGTTCGCATCCGACTGGCAGACGATCTTCCTCTCAAAGAGATAAAGTGTAAAAATTACCGCTGATCCTTTGGATCTAAGCGGAGTGATGGGGGATGCAGTCTGTCAACCCCTTCATCGCTATGTCCACACCATCAGAAGCCCCCCCTCCAATCCTGACACTGCGAACCAATCGTGCTATTAAGTCATTCGCATGAGCCTGAAAACGAAGCAGAAGATTGGGGGGGATCACTTGCGGATACTATGGTCCGCCTACTCGTGGTTCCAAGTCCTTCAGCTTCACTTTGCCGGCTTGAAGGGAGGGATGTTGGGTATCTGGGGTGTATCACCACTGCTATGGACCACAACGAACGCATTATACGGTCATCTGTTAGGGAGCATCCCCGCTATTGCTCGTGTGCCGAGTACAATTCTTCAGCCAAGTTCTTTTACATCCACGTCAGCGCCGCAGTTGGTGCTGGGAGTTATAGCAGTAACATAAAATCATATTACTCGCCTAAGAAAGAAGAAAATAAATTATTGAATCATAGCTTTATTTATTTTGAATTCTGCCACTCATGAATGGGCCTTTTTACCCGCCAACCCTGATGGCCCCACTGCCCTTATCTGCTCAACGATAATTGGTCCATGTATCAGGTTGATTTCCTAATTCGGCAATCTCCCAGGTTCGGCACTTGAATCCACAGGAGAAAGCAAATACACCATGATACGAAGAACACACATTCTCCCTCTGTGTAACTCCATATATATCTGCAAATATGAAAATACTTTCCAATTTGGTTAAGGTATATGTTGATATGACTTGTAGTTAGTCTGATAGCTTCGTATTTGGCAATGAAAGCGCTGATGCAACCATTTGAGGCCCCGCCCCCGACATTTCCACAGCCATGACGAATTTTACTTCTTCTTTTTTCCCTCTTAGACTCTGCACCCTTGCTTAAAAAAGCCTATATTATAGAATAACAGTGTGAGAAATTCCCATCGCAGATATAACAAGTATGCTCCAAAACCAGTGCCCAATCATCCTAGCACTTTCACCCACCAAAATGTTAACCCACAAAACGCCAAGATGTGACTACTACGGCTCATGATGTTGAGGCTTGACATTTTCCTTGTGCTGCTGCCTGTCTTGATAACTAGCAGCTTCATTGCATTCCAAACTCAGTTGAATATGTCAAACCCTGTCTCACTGCTCCGTTTCCGGACTAGAAAGCCGCTCAACATCGGCATCATCTCAGCCTACCTAGACGCACCAAGTGCAAATCGACCTCGTGTCCAGTCTACCTCGCCACCGCGATCATCTTTCAGCTTCCGAGCTTCTTTGGCCCCCGTAAATACACAAACTGATAGTTTGAAGAAGGCGACAGAAATAGGCCTAGAGTAACTTGTGATGCATGTCACACGTACGCATTTCAGGTCCCGTGGCAAGCCATGTTGCCCCCACGCAGTATATTCTATGGAGGCACCAATTGCAATCTTTTAGTGACAAATAATAGTCAACATCATTGTGCAGCTTGTTTCAAGATGGAGGTTATATTTATTATCAAGAGGTTCAGTAAAGCTGCAACAGCTAGGTCAGAGGAAGGCTACGCCCC